TATTGGAATGAGAGGAACTAATTATAAAGGGAAAGGGGATAGTTAGGCCTTTGCACGGGGCTAGTACCCAGAATTTTTTTTTTTGTATTTGTGACCCGTCTTGCCCCTTTCAAAATCCATAAATGTCGACTTGTACTTGCATTATACTTGACAAATGCTTATCATTATGAGTACTTGCCAAATTTTGGCCTACTTGCAAATTACTTGCCTTGCCTTGTGACTTGCCAAAATCTGGCCGACTCGCAAGTTACTTGCCTTGCCTTGACTCAAGATCCAACTCAACCACATTTTTATTACTTGCCTCGCCTCGATTCACGTTTGGATTAATGGGCTCCATTAAAGAAAAAATGTATTGGGTTTAGTCATAATAGAGTAATGAGATATAATATGATAAGAAAATAAGGCTTCGCAACTAACGGGCAAGTATCCAAAAAATTCTGACTTGTGACCCGCCTTGCTTCGAACAAGTACTTGATTTTTCAAGGCGCGTACGAGGCAAGTCACGGGTTTTGGGAAAGTATAGGGTACTTGTGCCCAGGCCTAGGCATTGTAGATGAGGGTGGCTTGTCCAATGGCCGCTCGACACTAACATCCACTCTGGTTAATGTTTATCCATTCAATCAACAAAGACGACTTGTGCGTATCCAGCAGCTGAATATCTTAAGTATCTTCATGTAATTGGATAGTTTAGTCAATACATATCCATTCAGTCAACAAAAGTGGCTTGTTATTATCCAACAACTAAGTTTTGCCATGTGATTGGATAGCTTGGTCAATGCTTATCCATTCAGTCAACAAAGGCGGCTTGTCCTTATCTATCAAATGAGAGTTTTATGTGATTGGATAGCTTATTCAATGTTTATCCATTCGGTCAACAATTACCGCTTATTTTATTCACCTGCTAGATCGCCGTCTTTACTAGGTGTCAAAGTCTAACATGACCAAACTTGTTTCTTCCACTTATTAGGTGTTACCGTCTAATTGGACCAAAACAAAAGTCGATTCTTAAATGTTCGCTTATACTCATGTCTATGTTTTTATCTGAATATCTATGATACATTATGTCCCGACGTGGTTGTCTGACGTGCTTGTCGTCATGTGATTGGATAGCTTGATTAATAATTATCCATTCAATCATCAAAGACGGCTTGTCCGTATCCATCAAATGAGTGTTTTCATATGATTGGATAGCTTATTCAATGTTTATCCATTCGGTCAACAATGAAAGCTTATTTTATTCATCCGCTAGGTGTCGCCATATTTACTGGGTGTCAATATCGAACATGACCAAACTTGTTTCTTCCACTTATTAGGTGTCGTTGTCTAATTGGACCAAACAAAAGTTGATTCTTAATTGTTCGCTTATACTCATGTCTATGTTTTTATCTGAGTATTTATCCATGCATAATGTCCCGACATGGTTGCCCGACGTGCTTGTCTTGAACTCAACGTTATGTGTATCTCGAAAGCTCATTGCCCTAGAATGTTGACGTCCAAACATAGATAAATTGTGAAATTTTGATTTCTCCTGGCTATACCGATAAAGCATCATTCACGATCAGCTCCTATGTTAATGTCTGGTCGTTTGTTGTTGATTATTTCATGACCAAAAATCTTCTCTTTATCATTTTGTCTTCTTGGATCCTGAACTCTTAACCATTTCATAACGCTTATGTGGGGTGTTACACCTCCGATCCTCCTTTTCGTGTTGCCCTCCTTCTTCCTTTTATAGTCAAGTGTGATGCTTTACCCTTAGTGATGGTTACAGCGTGTCCAATCCCTCGAGATTAGTTTCTTCCCTCTGATTTGGAAGAAGATCAAATCCACGCCTATCATCAAATGGGCCTTAAGAATTCCTATTTGGGTAAAGAGCCCCAGGTGGTACACGTTCTTGAGGCTTTCGTTCTTTTTACTACACAGAAAGTCTCTAACAATATGTGGGTGACAAACCAATCCTACTTAACAGACCCCAAAACTTCAAAGAGATGAGTGAACACAACTTATAATCTTCATATTCGTATGCTTAAAATATTGTTAGGTAATTAGCAAAAAATAATGTATATATGTTAAAATAATTAAATACTTCATATCGACTCTGGACTTAACTTTTTTATTTTTTTATCTCATTAATCTTAAAAATATATACCTCCAGTTTCACTTTCATTTTTAGAGAAAATTTTGGAAAATTAAGTTTCTTATGTTTTTAAATTTGTAATTACCTTCTTTTTAATAAGTTTTGAAAACTACACTTTATCAGTTCTAATTTACTGAAATATATCGTCAATAAAACTGAAAAAATCTTATTATATAAAGCTGGATGCGCACGTGGTTGCGACACGTAGGATTTTTATAAAATTTAGGATTGCGACATGTGTCACTTTTAATGTTATGTCCGTTAAGATCGTGACATGTGTCTTAGAAAAAAAAGAAAAAAATAATAATTAAAAAAAATTAGATAAAGGAAAAAAAACGAAATTTTAATCTTTTATAGTTAAAAGAAAAAAAAATTATATTTGTCATATCCTAATAGAAAAAGGTTTCTCATTCATCAAATTTATATTATCCAAACACATATAAGATTCAAATTAATGAAATAAATAAAATCCTATTAGTACATGAAATAGGTTAGGTTTAGTTAATCTTTTATAGTTAAAAGAAAAAAAAATTATATTTGTCATATCCTAATAGAAAAAGGTTTCTCATTCATCAAATTTATATTATCCAAACACATATAAGATTCAAATTAATGAAATAAATAAAATCCTATTAGTACATGAAATAGGTTAGGTAAACTAAATTTCCTATAACTGTTACATGAACCCCTATAAAAAGAGAGTTAAAGTAGTCTTTTTTTTCTCATTCACAAACTCATCAAAGCAAACAACATGATAGCAATACGTATGATTTTTATAACTCACAAAATTGCGATATGTGTAATAAAATAATGATAATAAAAAAACTAACTAATAATGAAAATGAAAATTTATAATGGTCTGAGTCAAAAACAAAATTGAGAAAGAAACAATATAAATAGAAAACTAACAAATTAATTATCAAGCAACTAACTAATATTAAGAAAATATAATGAACCGATATTCTAATTTTAAATAGTTTAATATATTTTCAATATTGTTAGGTAAAAAATTATTAAATAAAGATTTCATCAATTGAAATCTCTTGAATGGAATAATAAAGTTTTGTTGAATTAATTAATCAGTTGATCATATTTAGACATATATAAGTCTTTCTATATTGGATAAAAATAAAAATAAAACAAATTAATTCATTTTTTATATCATGAATTCAAAAAAAATATCAATTACAATAAAAACGTAAAAAGGTTACCGATCTTATTTTATTTAAATATTTTTATCGGGTTTTTAATATTATTCTGTTTACTTTAAAATGATCAAATTTGGTTTAATACTTTTCCATGATTTTATTACAAAATCTTAAAATAAACCCGCGTATACGCGGGTCTTAATCTAGTTATATTATAAAGGTGATTATCTCATATTACCACTAAAATAAGTTTATGATCCAAAATATATAACTATTTTTATTTTTCCAAAAATATCAAAACATTTAAAAATAATTTTTAAGAGTTGGATCTGGGATATAGTTTTAGCCAAATAAGTTAACAACAGACCACTGAAAAAATATTGTTTTCTGGTTTATAAATATAAAATTTTGGATTTTTTCTTTGTGTGTTTTTTTAATTATTATTTGGGTTAACTTTCGTTTCTTTAAGGCTGATTTTTTTCCTAAAACAAAAATGTTTAGTCTTTAAATAACATAGGTTTTATGTACATCAGTTTTTCCTTAAAAAAAACTACACTAAAATTACACACTAACTTTTACAATAGTTAAACTACAAATCAACAGAAAACATACACCAAATATATCACTTAGGTATTATCGATAAAATTATAACTACTAAGTAAATTAGAAACTAAATATATATATATTTAAAATTATTTTATCTAGTTGATAAAATTTGTTTCTGTTAAATATACCATCTACTATCAAACAACACATCACACTTAATTTTGCATCATTATAAACACAACATCACACTTAATTTTGCATCATTATCAGATAGCTTCACACAAATAACAGCCTCACTTAAACAATATTACTTTTTGGTTTATAAATAGAAAAAATTGAATTTATTTATTTGGGTTAACTTCATTTTTTCTAACGCTGTTTTTTTCCAAAAACAAAAATGTTTAGTCTTTAAATAACCTAGGTTTTATGTACATTTTCCTTTAAAAAGAACTACACTAAATTACACACTAACTTTTACAAATAAATCAACAGAAAAACATAAAAGAAGTATATCACATAGATATTAAACGATTAAAAATATAACTACTAAGTACATAACTAAATATTATATTTACAATTATTTTATCGAGTTGATAAAGTTTGTTTCTGTTAAATGATCATCTAATATCGACACAACATCAAACCCTCTTTTGCGTCATTATCAAATAAAAAAAGAATTTATTAAATTATGTTGTTTAACCAATCAAAAGCGTCCTATTGTGGTCCACGCGATTCTTTCGTGGAATTTCACTGGGACTTTGACTGTACTGAGTCACATTGGAATATTTTCTTGACTATTTAATGTGCATGGGAAAAAAAAAATCTAACAAGAAAATAAAGAGGAAGAGGAAGAAGAAGAAGAAGTGCAATACAGCAGATCGAGAGAGAGAGAAAATCTCAGAAACGTATTTCGATCTCTCTTAATTTTCCATGTTTAAAAGCTTTTTACTTTCTGCAATTAATCACACTTATATACCTTAATCACGCCCTTCTCCATTAAATCGCTAAATCTTCTCTCTCTTTTTTATTTCCATTGGTATTAAATTTTCCCCAAACCCAGAGAAGAAAAAAAAAAGTCTCTTTCTTTTCTTTTTCTTTTTTTCCTTATATATATAAATTTTTTTGTGTGGGTTTTTCTCTCTTCAGCTTCTTCTTTCCTTAGGCGGAGCTTAATGGAATCGCTTCGGGGTAACACAAACGGCGAACGCGACGGAAGGACGCCGGAGGAGAATCCAGCGATGGCGATGGCGTATCGAAGTCAGTCTCAGCCGCAACCCTCTCATCAGTTTCAACCGGAGAATCACGGAGCTGTCGACGAGCAGAGGTTTTGTTACCAGAGTGCTGCTGATTTGCAAACCCTAGAATCTTCCTTCGGTTCGCTCTCTGTTATCGATCCGAGTGTTCGTCACCAGCAGCAGAATCCGCCGCTTGACAATCGCTGGAGCAATCGATCGACTCCGGCGGCACTTCCCAATCACGCGATCACTAACGGCGGCGGCGGTGGCGGCGGTGATAATGGCTATTTCTCGCCTCGTCTTCCTCCTCAGAGTGTTAACAACTCGCCGCAGATGGTGATGAATCAGTACTCGCAGAGAGTATCGTATGGGAACGATTGTGTTAACGGAGGATCGTACGGGTACGAACCTAACGGTGGTGGAAGCAACGGTGCGACGCTTAACAATGGTTTCAATTCGGGAGACGTTCCTTACCTCTCAAGGAATCGTTTCTTGAACCAGAGCCCTTTGGATCATAACAACAACAATGGGTTTGGGTATGGAGTCAACAGCTCTTGGAGGAGTCATGACCCTAGGGGCTCGATCTTCTGGCTTGCTAAAGATCGAACCGGGAGTCTTCAGCTGCAAGGGGATATCGATGGCGGCTCGAAGGAGACGATCGATATGATTTTCAACAATGTCATCTCTCAAATCTGTGATCTGATGGTGGACCCTTATGGTCAGCTTGTGGTTCAGAAGCTGATGGAGAAGTGTAGCTCTCAGCAGATCACTCAGATTCTTGATAAGGTCACTCAAGACCAGTATCAGTTTGTTACCATATGCAGTGATTCTCTCGGGTACACACAGGCTCTTGATTCTTGTTTCAACTTTTTGCTACTGTTTGTCTTAGCTTGAATTGGTGTGGTGATATGTCTTTGTTGTGATATCAGGACTCGTACGGTGCAATCGCTGATGAGGTGTCTTCACTCCGAGGAACAGATTGCGAGGATGGTGGAGATTATTAGCATTGTGGCACAGCTGTTGACAAGGAGCAACAATGCTAAACATGTGATCCTCCAATGCTTCACCCAGTTCTCTCCCTCGCAGAATATGGTAAAGCATCTCAATCCTACCCTACTCTGCTTCAGCTATTCTTGATCTTTGCCTTGAAGTTTAGCTGGTTTTAGTAGATGAATCTTTGCAACTCAGTGTATCAGTTTGATGTTTCAGTTTGCTTCTTTGTCAGTTAAATTTGCAATGTATGTTATCTTTAGTTGATGATTTGCTATAGAACTCATGACTGAAACATATTACAGAATCTGTATGGTATGTTACCTTAATTGCTTGTGGTACAAGTAAAATGAGCCCTGATAGACCCTGAATCATATTTTTCAAACAGGGTTTGATATTTCTTCCACACACCATGTCTTGTGTTTTATTTTGTACAGAATCTCCTTGAAGGCATCGCTCAAAACTGTTACCGGATAGCGATTGATCAAAACGGTTGCTGCATGCTTCAGCAGTGCCTTGCCACTGGTTGTAATCCGCTAAAGCAGCGTTTGATTCACGAGATCATCAATAATGCCTTGAGGCTCTGCTTGAACTGCTACGGGTAAAACATGAGATTATCGCTAATGCCTTGCTTCTTTCTCATATGTATATCTCCTTTTGTTTTACTCACATTTTTGTATTATGTTCTACTTCAGAAACTACGTGGTGCAGTATGTAGTGGAGCTTGAAGACCCAGCTGTGACACTTGACCTCGTGAGACAGCTTAGTGGGAACTATGCGTACCTCTCCCGCAACAAGTATGGAAGCCACGCTGTGCAGAAGCTGCTGAAGATAAAGTATATCGACTCTAGCTACATCATTAACGACTTGCTCAGAGATATCGATACGCTTCTTCTCGACCCGTTTGGAAACTACGTCATTCAAACCGCATTGTTTGTTGCTAAGGTAAGGCCGTGTGGATTGTTGTGTTTAATGGTGTGATCTTCTGTGTAGAGAGATTTAGTGATGTGAATCTTGTTTTTTTTGGTCTTTGAAGGATAATGTGCGTGACTTGTTGAAGTGGCATATAGAGAGGAACAAGAGACTGATGAGGTGCAACAAGTTTGGTACTAAGATTCTGGAGAAATTCAATCTCTAGAGGTCAAAGGTAAAAAAAAAGAAAGAAACAATGTGTTGTTGCTTCATATGTGTTAGGTGGCTTTGTTTTGATTGATTCATTGTTTTTTGTATTTCCTTTAGTTGTTGTTGATTTTTTTTTTAAGGTGAGGATTTTGTGGTTTTTGTTTTGTGAAATCATTGGTTTTGTGAAACACAAACCACACACAAATGTCCTCACCAAAAACAAACAGTACCGTATGTCTTGTCTTGAGGGGGGTTTTTTTTTTTTATGTTTTTGTGTTGTTCGTATGTAAAAGGCTCGGACCATTTAAACTCATAATGTTTGTTGTCGTCTTATTCTTCTTATTTTCATTATTGCTTACTTCGTTTCAACCTCTTCGTGGTTTGTGTATTATCTTTGTTTATTATATGTTTAAATTGACTCAAACAATCATATTTTGTAAAGATGTTTGATAACATTTTTATCAAAAAAAAAAGATGTTTGATAACAAACCTAAAGGTGTTTTGTGTTTGTCAGAGGACAAAAAGTAAAGTATTGCGTCTTGTCAGAAAAAGGTGTATTGTGTTTTTTCCCCTTCTGATGTGAGAAGATTTTAATATCTAAAAATAGGTGATAATCCAAATTCCAAGCCCATAAAATAATATAACCAGTACCCTATGTTAATTTTAGAAAATTGCATATATGCCAAGTTCAAACCAATTTTCGAAAATGATACAAACTTCCACTTTACAATTCCTAAATTGTCCATTCTTAAAATAATAAAAATCCTATATGGACATTTTTTTTTAGACATTTCCTTATCAGATTTTTGTATACATTCCCTGACAATATATATTTTTTAATCATTTAGTGGGGACAAAAACTAATTATACAAATAATTGTATGTATATATGGATTCTCTGAGCATTATGCAAACTTAAAAGTGTAAAACAGTGGTTGTGCTATTATTGTTAGACATTTCCTTAAACACTACTGACTCCCGATGAAAATATGTTTATGGGCCTTTTATTTAAAAGTCCACTGTGACAGAACCACAATGGACCACATTCCATGTGTAATTTTTACATTGGTAAGTTTTTTTTTTTCTTTTTTTTTTGGTTAAGTTCAACGCGCTTAAAATTGATCGAGAAGTCGTTGACTTCACCGAACTTGGTAAACTGCTACGTGACATTACATTATTCGTCGTCGTTCGAAGCACTAAAAATTGAAAATTAAAAATTAAAAAACTTTACTAAAATCATGAAACCACCGTGACCATTTCATTCTCTCCTCCTCCTCCTCTCTCTCTCTCTCGACGAAGGATCTACGACGGAGCCACGGTGGAGTTTACTCCGCCTATCCCCTCCGTCACCACCGGAGTTCTCCAATCCAATCCACTGATCTCAATAATCCACCAGAGCCATGAATCGAGCTTCCCTCCTCCTCCTCCTCCTCCTCACCATCGCCCTCTGTAAATTCTTCGATCTGAGCTTGGCTGAAACTCCCGATGAGCTCAATTTAGCAGCCGAATCGCGGATGATTTTCCCGCTCAGCTACTCTTCCCTTCCCAGACGAGTCGAGGATTTTCGCCGCCGCCGTCTCCATCAATCTCAGCTCCCCAACGCTCACATGAAGCTCTACGACGATCTCCTCGCCAACGGGTTAGACTTTCGTAATAATCACCAATTCTCTTTCTCCGGCGATCTATCTACACGATGCTGATTCGTTCAATTCTGGGTTTGCTCAATCTTATGCAGCTACTATACAACACGATTATATATAGGAACACCACCACAGGAATTCGCTTTGATTGTAGATACTGGAAGCACTGTCACTTACGTTCCTTGCTCCACTTGCAAACAGTGTGGGAAGCATCAGGTGAATTTAGTTACTTTGATCTTTTCAGATACTTTGTGTGTAGAAGATGATCTACAGGAAGTAAGTTATGATATAGTTCTTGAGAAGAAACATGGTAGAGATCAATTTTTCATTATCGATGAGGTTTCTGCGAATTCACTAGAGATTGGTTTGGTTTGTTGAATCATTAGCTGAAAGTTTACTGTTTCAGGATCCAAAGTTTCAACCAGAGTTATCTAGTAGCTACGAGGCATTGAAATGCAATCCTGACTGTAACTGTGATGACGATGGGAAGCTGTGTGTGTACGAAAGACGGTACGCTGAGATGAGCTCGAGTAGTGGGGTACTGAGTGAGGATTTGATATCTTTTGGCAATGAGAGCCAGCTTTCTCCGCAGCGAGCTGTTTTCGGATGCGAGAACGCGGAGACAGGGGATCTTTTCAGCCAGCGAGCTGATGGTATAATGGGATTGGGTCGTGGGAAGCTCAGTGTTGTGGATCAGCTTGTTGACAAGGGTGTTATCGAGGACTCTTTTTCCTTGTGTTATGGAGGAATGGAAGTTGGTGGTGGTGCAATGGTGCTTGGTAAAATCTCTCCTCCGGATGGTATGGTGTTTGCTCGTTCGGATCCTTTCCGCAGGTAGAGTAACTTGATGAGTTTGTCAGTTAGTTTGGTATCTGAAGAAATTGAGAGTAGATCTTTAGCTTCTCACACATCACTGTAGTTTTCGGGTGTTTGCAGTCCGTACTATAACATTGACCTGAAACAAATGCATGTTGCTGGCAAGTCTCTGAAGCTAAACCCAAAGATCTTTAACGAAAAGCATGGAACGGTGTTGGATAGTGGAACAACATATGCTTATTTTCCGAAACAAGCGTTTATTGCCATCAAAGATGCGGTAAGTCGTGTACATGTATGCTTATCTCTTGCTTGTAGAATCATGTAAATATTGTGGGTATGCTCTTCAACGGATGTCATTTGGCGAATGAATGCACTTTTATAAGCTTAGAATATACACTGTCAAAGATAAATGTTAATCTTTCTTCCTTAACGTAATCTTGTGTGATTATGTTATATTGCAGGTCATTAAGGAAATTCCATCTCTTAAACGGATCCATGGTCCAGATCCAAATTATGATGATATATGTTTCTCCGGTGCTGGAAGGTTTGTTTAAAACAACTACATTAACGATACTTCAACTTTGATTACAACTTATGTTTAAGGATATACTTCAATCTCTGATGTCGTTCAGGGATGTGGCTGAGGTGCACAATTATTTTCCCGAGATAGCTATGGAATTCGGCAATGGTCAGAAACTGATCCTATCTCCAGAGAACTACTTATTCAGGGTAATAACTTGGTAAAGTAAATTGGCTTCATCCTTTTCTTTTGAAGTTACTTGTTTGATCATTTAAGCTAGTATTATAACTGTTTCGATTTGTGTTCCTGACATGTTTACAGCACACTAAGGTCCGAGGCGCGTACTGCCTTGGAATATTTCCTGATAGAGACTCAACAACACTCCTTGGAGGTATTGTATGCAGGCTCATTCTAGATATCTTTGCTTGCATTCCCATTTTTTTTTCAAGAAAGCATGTATCAGATACTATTTAGTTTCAACTTTCAAGACAGATTTTGCTACCATTTGATGGGTATATATAATAAAGTTGGTTCATTTTATGTTTGGATCAGGAATTGTTGTCCGCAATACGCTAGTCACTTATGACCGTGAAAATGACAAGCTCGGTTTTTTAAAGACCAACTGTTCTGATCTGTGGAGGAGGCTGGCTGCACCAGGCTCTCCTGCACCTACTTCACCAGTTGATCAAAATACAAGTTCTCATATTTCTCCGAGCCCGGCTTCGAGCGCGTCTCCTACTGCTGATCTTCCAGGTAGTTTGTTCGGATTTTCAGGGATTTATCTTAAACCACTCTTTTTGTTATCTCTCTCATTTCTTTGACTTTCTTTTTGATACTTTAAACTCATAATACAAGAACTAATATTTATAAAGCTGTCATTCTAAACAAAAGTATAGTGAATTGCTATCCCTCTTGTAACACTTCCCGTTTGTTGCTTGATTTCTCTGTTTTCTTTGTTTTCCGTTTTCTTGTACAGAACGAATCTTTTGCTAAATCAAAACACTTCCTTGGCATATTTTGCTCAAATATTTTGTAAAACTCTTTACCGTCTTGAAAGTATGGCGATGAAAAAGTAAAATTACTCCCACCATTACCCAGAGCCTTATCAACGTCATCTATAGCACTGTCATTGGCTACATGTGATTTTCTTTGTATCTTCTATTTTGGTGTTAACCTGTTTTATTGGCTATTATCCTACGGAAGGTGTAGGTGTTTTCCAGATTGGAAGTATCACTTTCGATGTGTCGATCAGTGTGAATAATTCTTCGTTGAAGCCAAACTTCACAGAGATTGCTGATTTCATCGCCCATGAGTTAGACATTCAAAGTTCACAGGCAAGTTTATAACATACATTTTTCTACTAGTTGTCTTAACTGAGGTGCTTTCGTCGTGATCAAATCATCTCAACGGCTCTTCTTGCTGTTAGGTTCGCTTGCTGAACATCTCTTCCAGCGGAAATGAGTATCGCCTGAAATGGGGAATCTATCCTCCACAATCTTCGGAGTACATTTCCAATAAAATGGCATCGGTAACTCTCAGTTTCGTTACAAAAACGATTGTTTATGCATCTTCACACGCCAATGACGTGAGAGACTGAGTTCTACTTATTTACCGCAATTGCAGAACATAATGTTGCTTCTGAAGGAAAACCGATTGCGCCTACCTGGTCAATTCGGAAGCTACAAGTTACTAGAATGGAAAGCTGAGCATAAACAGAAGCAGTATGCTTCCTTGTGACCCCCATTATCTATCGTTACTGGTTCACAAGATTTGATCTAATTTTACGGGTTTTAATTGTGGTGCAGGAGCTGGTGGGAGAAGCATATAGTCGGCGTGGTGGCGGGAGTGATGATCTCGTTGCTGGTTACTTCGGTGATGGTCAAACTTGTGATGGTGTGGAGACGGAGAAAGCAAGAAGAAGCTACTTATGAGCCTGTAAGTGCCGCTGTTAAAGAACAAGAACTTCAGCCTCTTTCTTCTGAAACTGAAACATCTAATGCTTGAGCCTTCACATCACTCTATAGAGCATCTCTCTCTCTATATATAAAATATATATTTGGATTTGATAGAAAGGAATTAAACTAAGGACACAAGATTCATCAGATTAAAGACAGTTTGATTTTTTTATAAAGTAAATTGTTGTAGTTACCATATTTTGATGTAACAAAGAAAGAAACAAACAAGATGATGGAATGATTTGTCTTGCTTTGGATTTTGTTTGACTAGAGAGGGTTTCATGTATCATACAGAGGTGCTCAAACTCTCGAGCCTACAAAACTTGGATGAAAAACGGATACAGTAGTCAAAAATATCATCTTGTAAAAGTAGAACCATCGCGCTGCCGCTTACAAAAGAAATGGGAAACCAATTTAGAAAATACACATAAATTACAATCATCATTGTGTCCTTGATTCATCCCCCATGATCTCGTTTATGTTTGAATCTATTGGGTCTTCTTTATTACCAATTCCAATGCATAGAAGATGGCACGCATTTGTTGACAAAAGTTACATAAAAATAGAGTAAAAGAAGAAACTCACATTTCACTTCGTCCAATGCATCGACCATAATTGTTATTTATTTTATTTTATTTTTGACAAAAACTCATCGACCATAATTACTTCTAGTTTTCTAAAAAAAATACCTCTAGTGCATCCTTCCTACATTTGTTGAAAGAAGAAGATAAGAAACAATGTTTTCTTTAACAACATTTAACTGCGATTATTTTTTTAGTAAAATTTTATAATTGGAAACAAAATAATTTAAATAAGAAATCAATATATATATATATATATAATTATTACTTTTCAAATTTCTTTATTTGATCGATATGAAATCATCGTTCTCAATTTCATTTTATTTCTCAAATCATCATTCTCAGTTTCATCTTATTTATTTATAAATTACAAATCTTGGATATACATAGAACCTAATCTAGAACTAATATTTAAGAATATGACTTATATGAATTGATCCACTACTTTCGTTGATTTTTTGTTACCGGGTTAAAATTGTGATAATTAAGTTCTATTGAAATTTCTCTTAAGATTAATTAAATTAATGTCCGCGTTATATGCTGGATATAATGATAATGAAGTAAAACTTAATTAATATAGTTTTAGTTAAAAAAAATATAGTTTAATTATTTAATGGAGAACCTGAAATTTACTTATGTATATTCTGTTATTGTTTTGTAAGTAATTTGGTTCACCATGATATAATTCTAAACAATAATTTATAATTTAAGTTAAAAACTCAACATAACAAAATTAATATATGAAATCCGAAATTTGTTTATGTATATTTAATTTTGAATAAAAATGTGTTTCACCTAATAAATAATTTCAAATAAACAGTTTTATTTTATAGTTCAATAACAAATAATCATATACATTATCATATATATTTTAATATATTGTCTTTAGTTTGATATGTAAAATTTAAAATGAAAGTAAATACTTTACATGTCTACTGATTTTTATAGTAAGAATAAAAACGAATTTAATGGTAAGATTTAATATTAGATTTTTGAAATAATTATTTTTGGTAAAGTTAGTAAGATATAAATATAGTTGGTTATATGAATTAAAGTAATCAAAATAGGTAACAATGTAAATAATTATGTTTGCAATAAATATAAGAAAATTAAATAAATCAAAAATAAAAAGGCTAAGAAAAATTGTGGGAGTGACACATCAGTAAAAATATTCTTCATTGTTCCTTCTTTAATATAGATGATAAATGCTAGACCTGAGACTTAAGGTTATCCACTCGGGTTTGGGTAGGTTCCATTCCAGTCCGGCTCTTTCAAATAGGTGATATCTATACCCATATAAGTAACCTTATGGATTTTGGTTTGGTAAAAGTTTGGTCTTTTCAGGTTCAGATATAGCTTTAGAATAGCGAAATATATCCAAAATATTTTGATTATAGTTCGAATTCGGATATTTCGGTTATTTATTACCAACAAAATTCAAAAATATACCTAAAAATACCCAAAATTCCAAAAAAAAAAAAAAAAAAAATCCACTTAAAAAAATACTGAAAATACATCTCAAAATCCGAAAAAAATCAAAAAATATAAAAAGAATTATATTTATAATATCAACAATAATCCACAATACCCATAATTCGGGTAATTTGGGTACCCGTTCGGTTTGGGTATTACCCAATACCCACAGACGTTAAATATTTACCTAATGGGTGATTTACTATATACCCAAAATCAATCGGGAGTATTTTGGGTCAGTATGGTTCGGGTTTTCGGGTTGAAAGTTTTAGACCTACCACAAACATTTAACGAAATTTGATTTTAGAGGAAATAAGGACAACATAAATTTATGTTTCGACCGCACGTTAATATATCTAAAAATAATTTAAGAAACAAAATATTTGCAAAATTCAAATGACAACTAAAATACAAATAACAAAACTTTGTAATAATCACAACCCGCACATCGGTTTGTGATCAAACGGAGTGATGGATTTAACTCCCGACTCTCGGAAGAACTTTTTAAAGGGCTCCTCAACTTTCTTCCAAACCAAAACCAAGCCTCAATATACCATTATCAACACGGAACCACAACTTTGTACTCTTAACAAACATGATAATTTTTCCAATTGGGTTTTTGTATAATTCTCTCTCCTTATATTTTTTGAGAGTTTTTGTTTTTATAATATTACTTTTGGCATTGGTGTTTCTCTTTAATTCTATATTTGTTTTCAATTAGTTTTAGGATATAGCTACATCATAACTAAAAGAAAAATAGGTAGGGTATATATGTAATGTATGTTAATATAAAGGACTAATCCCCCAAAAACAACATAAAAAGGTATAAATCACCAAAACTATACTAAAAACATCCTTTATTTCCAAATTTCCCTATTTAGAAAGTGACAAATTTCGTTTATGTAGTTTGTAAAGTGGTCGCAATACTGATTATTTTCTTGAGAGAAAGAAGACAAAATTTACAAAGCAAAACAGGATAAAATTAAATCACCGTTTCTTTAGAGCACACAAAGTATATGATTTCATTCTATCCCAATGGCGTTAGTTCTACCTACGTTATCCATATCCATTGCATCAAGCAACCTCCATATTCTTTTTACTCATCAACAACTTCTCTTTTTATAACTTAAAACCCATTTTGTAATATTTTGATCCATTATAAACTACCTCTCTAATGTTACAAAAAGATGTTCGTAGAGATGTTTCAGCTTCTATTCGTGATCGTGTCAGTCGAAGCCGCTCTAATTTTAACACTCGGGTTCGGGACTCCAGCGAGAAGAGTAGTGGTGAGGTTGCTAGACCTGTTGAAGAAAGGTAGAGGACCACTGGTTGCAAAAACGGTTGCAGCCACTATGCTTGTGTTGTTTGGTTCGGTTCTGTTCAGCACGATTCAGATCAACAAACGGGTCTATGAGTCTGGTGGTGTAGCTAACTCGACTGATCAAGTCATGTTTGCGAATCGCCTCCTAGAAGCTTTCCTCATGGGTACGTAATAATAAATTTAACAAACGCCATTTTGTGTTTTTTAATGTATTTTTTATTCTTTTACTTTAATCTTTTTTGTGTGTTTTTGGTTGTGAAAAAAAGCAACTGTCTTGTTCCTGGCAATGGTTACTGACAGAATGCATTACTACACAAGAGAGCTTCAAACAACAAGAAGAAACTTGGAGATTGCAGTAAAGAAGAACAAGCCAAATTGAGATCCAAAATACAAACTAAATTTGTAAATCTGTGTATAGTTTTATCAAACGAATTTGTCTTTATCCAAACCTTGACTTGAATTTCATAACAAGTAAAATAAAAAAACGATGACTCTTACTATCAAGATCACCGAAAAAACTAACATTTTCATGACAATGCGATTATATTGTCCCAATGATTTAACAAATGTGGCCAGGGCCGGCTCAACATTTCCATGCACCTTTGCGAAAAAATAAGTGAGACCCTTTGAAATTGTTATTTTTTAAAGTCCATACTATGTCTTCATATATAAATAATTTGGTAAGACTTTATCAACAAAGGCAAAAGATTTGTGCCGACCCCTACATGAGATTTAGTTTCGTTGATTCAGGGTATAGGAAAGTATAGGAGTGGAGATACTTTCCTTGCGGGTCCTAATATAAATCACTCACATTATTTTGCTGCTAGAAGTATATCAAAGCAAAAGCAATGGCTATGCTGGCTGAGGTTGGTTCCCCTGTTTGTTTGTTTTTTTTTTTTTGTTTTTTTTTTTCTCCTTTGGTCTGGGCTGATTGGTTTTGGCGTCTGATTTTATTCCCTGTTTTTGATACTAGTTTCAATACTCAATCCATAGATAGATAGTTATTTCACAGTTTCAATACTCAATCCACGTGGCATCCAGAATCCAGATCAATATCTAAACACTCAGGACACTTCCAAATTTCTGGAACGGATCAGATCAGATAAATAATCGGATCTTGGATCCTGGATAATTCAACCCCTAAGTTAATCTTCAGTTAGGCTTTACTGGATTCTGACATCAAAAATTGTGAGTATATTACTCAAAATCAAAATTGATGATGAATATAGACATATATATTTCATATATTAGTATTGATCCTTTTATATTTTAAGAGTGAGAACCTTAGATAAGGTGAATCAAAATAACATTAGGAGTTAATATTATAATTACTAGGTGAGTCAATGCTGTAACAGAGGCATTATGATTGTTTCTCTATTTTCAGAATGAGAACCACAAAATCATATGAACAACTCTGAGCTCTTCGTGATATCCTTGGCGTATACGCACAGTAACGTGATAGAAACGTCAGGTGTGAATTTGTCTTTGCAGATGTTGAATTATATGAGAATAGTCATAAAATCCGTCCGCCTAGAGCATATAATGATGGTTCGTCTTTGTAAGTGATGGTTAACGCAAAAACACCACATGTTGTCTATAGAAAAGTCATGATGAAGACTAGTGAAATGTTTTTTTTTTTTGTCTCTTTAGACGGTTGACTCGACTTGATTTATACGGCAAAGACTTGATGCCATTTTGGAAAATTATGGCAGTTTTGTTTATGTGGTTGTAAGCCAGTGTATTATCTTTTAAGTTGCATTGCCATCACTTTCCTGCGAAACATTGAAAGCCAGAAAATCTTAGACCAGAAATATAAAGAGAGAGAAAAAAAAAATGATAAACATAAGCCTCTTTCTTTTACTTTCTTGTAGTGCTCTCGTGTTACTTGAAGCATACGGTTTCAGGGATGAAACTGATAGGCAAGCGTTGCTGGAGTTCAAGTCTCAAGTTTCTGAAGGAAAAAGAGCTGTCTTGTCCTCGTGGAATAACTCATACCCTCTCTGCAAATGGAAAGGGGTTACATGTGGCCGCAAACACAAGAGAGTGACGAGTCTAAGCCTCGAAGGATTGCAATTGGGCGGGGTGATATCACCATCTATTGGTAATCTTTCGTTCCTCTCGTATCTCAATCTAACAGATAACTCATTTGGTGGTATCATCCCCCACGAGGTTGGAAAATTGTTTAGGCTTCAATACTTATATAGAGTCTAATTTTCTCGGGGGAGAGATTCCAGTGAGCCTATCGAATTGCTCTAGGCTGTTGGGGATTTATTTAACAATAAATAAGATTGGAGGAGTTGTTCCTTCAGAGCTAGGGTCATTGACTAAGCTTGTTGCTTTATTTCTTTATCGAAACAACCTGAAAGGAAAGCTCCCTGCATCTCTAGGAAACCTGACAGCCCTTAACAGTCTTGATCTGGGAGATAACAATATACAAGGAGGATTTCCAGATAGTATGGCTAGGCTTACTCAAATAGTGGGTCTTAGCTTAGCAATGAATGAATTTTCAGGTGTTATTCCTCCAGCAATATACAATTTATCCACACTTGAGTATTTATCCATCGCTGATAATCATTTCTCGGGTTCCTTGAGACCGGATTTTGGTAATCTGCTACCAAAAATTCGCGAGTTAAATATGGGACGTAATGGTCTCACAGGAGCCATTCCGACAACACTTGCCAATATTTCGACTCTTGAAAAGTTTGGGATCGATGTGAACAATATGACAGGAAGTATTTCTCCTAACTTTGGAAATCTACAGAATCTGCAGTTTCTATTACTTGGTCAAAATTCTTTGGGAAGCTACTCAACTGGAGATCTTGCATTTATTGGTGCTCTTACTAACTGCACCCGACTAGAGATTTTAGAGGTTGCTTCGAATAAGCTTGGGGGTGATTTACCGACTTCCATTGCCAATTTGTCCACAAACCTCAACGATTTAAGCCTTGGAAAAAATCTTATCACAGGAAGCATTCCTCACAACATTGGAAATCTCATTAACTTACAAGAATTTGCGATTGGAGGTAATATGTTGACAGGACCAATACCAACGTCTATCGGCAAAATTTTAGGATTGAGGTTATTATATCTCCATACAAACAGATTCTCAGGAGAGATACCATCTTCTATAGGCAACCTCACATGGCTAGAAAATCTCGATGTGGCCAACAATAGTTTGGAAGGAACCATTCCTCAGAGTATTGGTAACTGCAGTTCCATGCTACATTTGAAGATTGCGTCTAATAAGTTGAATGGGACTATACCTCGGGAAGTTCTAGAAATCCGGTCGCTTATTCACTTAAGCATGTCAAATAATTATTTGATAGGCTCTGTGCCAAAAGATATTGGGCGACTTGAAAATCTTGTTGGGCTATATGCTGCTCATAATAAATTATCAGGAGAACTACCACAGAGTCTTGGAAAGTGTCTCTCGATGGTACAACTACATCTCCAAGAAAATTCTTTTGATGGAACCATTCCAGATATCAGAAGATTGGTGGATGTTAGAGCAGTTGATTTATCAAGAAATCGTCTCTCTGGAACTATACCTGAATATTTTGTGAACTTTTCCAAACTGAAGTATCTCAATTTATCCATCAACAATCTAGAAGGAAGGGTGCCAGCACAAGGAAAATTCAAGAATGCTACTATAGTTTCGGTATTTGGGAACCAACATCTATGTGGAGGCATCAAGGAGCTGAAGCTAAAGCCTTGCATTGTCCAAGAACCACCAATGGAGACGAAGCATTCCAGCCGTTTGAAGAAAGTTGTGATTGGGGTCAGCGTAGGCATAACTTTGCTTCTGGTGTTGTTCACATGTCTTGTTTCTTTACGTTGGTTCATAAAAAGAAAGAAGCAGCAGCATACTGATAGTACAACTCCTTCTTCGTTGGAGATTTTGCATGAGAAGATAAGTTATGGCGATCTTCGCAATGCGACAGATGGCTTCTCTTCAAGCAACATGATTGGATCAGGCAGTTTTGGTACTGTATTTAAGGCATTACTTCCGACGGAGAACAAGGTTGTTGCGGTGAAAGTTCTAAACATGCAGAGGCGTGGAGCAATGAAGAGTTTTATGGCAGAATGTGAATCCTTGAAAGACATAAGGCATCGTAATCTTGTTAAACTGTTGACGGCATGTTCGAGTATTGATTTCCAAGGAAATCAATTCAGGGCTCTCATTTATGAGTTCATGCCTAATGGAAGCTTGGATATGTGGTTGCACCCGGAGGAAGTGGAAGATATTCGTAGGCCCTCAAGAACTTTGACACTTCTTGAAAGGCTCAACATAGCGATAGATGTGGCTTCGGTTTTGGACTATCTTCATGTTCATTGCCATGAACCCAGAGCTCATTGCGATCTTAAGCCAAGCAACGTCCTCCTAGATGATGATTTAACTGCCCATGTTAGCGACTTTGGTCTTGCACGAATCCTCCTCAAATTCGACAAGGAGTATTTCCTCAATCAACTCAGCTCAGCCGGAGTCAGAGGCACAATCGGCTATGCCGCACCAGGTAAAACTATAACACATTTGAAATGTTTGAATGAAAAGAATGAATGTATTCTTTTATTACTCCAATTTTTCTTTTATGAACTGTGGTGCAGAGTATGGAACAGGAGGACAACCATCAATACATGGTGATGTGTATAGCTTTGGGGTTCTCCTTCTGGAGATGTTCACTGGAAAAAGACCAACCAATGAGTTATTTGGGGGAAACGTTACTCTTTGTAGCTACATCAAATCTGCATTGCCAGAGCAAGCATTGGATGTTGCGGACGAATCCATCCTTCACAGCGGGCTTAGAGTCGGTTTCCCAATTGCTGAGTGCTTGAGGTTGGTTTTCGAGGTGGGACTTAGGTGCTGTGAAGAATCTCCTACGAACCGGTTGGCAACGAGTGAAGTTCTCAAAGAATTAGTCTCAGTCAAGGAGAGGTTCTTCAGAGCCAGAAGGACAACAAGACGTTGAAGTGTTTATGCATGGTTTCCCCTACAAACTTTGCAACCTTCAATTGTAGGCCCCGTCTGAGGCCTATATTATATCGTCTTAATATTGTATGGTTTTCTTTTACTCTATGTATACGTACGTACCTATGTTTGCAGAATATTGTTTATTTACGGACAAAAGATGAATAATGCAGGTCAATGCATCTATCTTAATACCATTCAAAATGATTGTACTAAACTATTTTATTTATAAGAATGCCATTAAAAACGACTGTACTACAAAACAATTAAAACTTTTTGAATTGTTTAAACGCAAAGGACCATTTCCATTTGCATTTCACTTTCTCATGCGGCCGCTAGATGTCATATTGTCATCACATCACTAGGCAACTTTATTTCACTTTTCAAATAAACAAATAAAACCCACTTTGATCTGCATGTCTACCTGGATCACATATAAACCCTATTTTCCCTTTTTTGTGAATATTAAACCTTCTTTATTCAGCAAAAAACAGCTAAAACACCAAGCAAGTCTCAGATCTTTCATGGACCACTTCTCTTGCAAGAATACAAACAAGATGGCCAGGAGGACCCACGTTGTTGCCGGTCTTGGTTTAAGACCATGTTGTTTCTTCTGTGTCATGGAAGAAAAAGACCCTTGTGTTAGAAAAGCATGGTTAGAGTTAGCCCTGAGAGATTTGCACATGACAAGAGACGACACAGAGCTAGCTCTCACACTCAGTTTCATCTGGAGATACGCCATGGCCGACCCGGAAGATCCCGAGTTACCGTCTCTCGGGATCTTTGAGTGCATGACAAAGTTGTTGATGAAAGGTCTTGAGGATCTAGAATGGTTAAGGACTGGTCAAAATGTGTATGTTCCTTACTATGCTGCTCATATCATTGGATCTTATACCATGAAGAAGCCTGAGTTTGCTGTGAAAGCTGTGGAGTCTGGGGTCATAGCGCCATTGCTTCAGCTTATGAGAGGCAAGATGAGTTGGGTAGAGAAAAGAGTCGTAATTAGGGCGTTAGGTCACTTGGCGAGCTACGAGAGGACGTTTGAGGCAGTGGCTGCTTACGAGGATGAAGTGGTGAGACTAGCCATGGAGATTGCGGCGACATGTGTTGATGTTGTGTATGAAGAGTTTGTGAGTGTTCAAGAAAGAGAAGGAAGAGTGAAGTATCACATTGACTTGCTTACTAGAGGACTTGGAGGGTTAGAGATGGAAGACCAAAAAGCCGAGGAATGGGCAAGCCAACTCCAATGCTGGTCACTTCATTTACTCAGTTGCTTTGCTTACAAGCAAAGATCTATTTCTCTTATTTGCAACAAAACCTTTCTGAAGAAGCTTAGCCAAATGTGGGGTGGATTGGTTAACCACAATTCTCCTGCAGGTATCGGACTAATCCGGATTATTTGTTATAGTAAACTAGGGAGAGGCAAAGTTGCGGAATCGAGAGAGTTGATATTGAGTCTATGCAATCTCTCTAGGTCTTCTGATGATTGGCAATACATGGGTATAGATTGCCTTTTGCTTCTCCTCAAAGACCAAGAAACAAGGTACAAAGTCTTAGAGACATCATTGTTTTATTTACTAGACCTAGTTGAGATTAAAGCTCTTAATGATAGACCAAACCTAGGTGATAGAATAACTAGGGTTCTTCTAATGGATTACAATACAAAGAAAGGTTTTATCTACACTCACAAGACTCAAACGGCTTTGAAAGAATTGTGGAAGACTTTTGTAGAGAGGAGAAGGAGAGAGAGGAGTGATAATCAAGAAAAGGTAGCAGAGACAAGTGTTGTTGTGAATTTGATTAAGCAGCAAGCAAACCATTTTCTTCGTGTAGGAGACATAGAAGGGGCTATTAAATGCTACAACGAAGCAATAGGTTTATGTCCTTTGAAACTTAGGAGGAAGAGAATGGTTTTATATAGCGATAGAGGAGAGTGTTTCTTACTTCTTGGAGAAGTTGATGCGGCCATAAGTGAATGCACAAGAGCTCTTTGCTTGTCCGAGCCTGTGAACTCACATGGTAAGAGTCTTTGGACAAGATCAAGAGCTTATGATATCAAAGGGCTCTCAAGAGAAAGCTTGATGGACTGTATCATGTTCGTTCATGTTCGTTGCTCCCGTGGAAAAATCCCTTACTATGCTGCTCAAATGATCAGCAAACAGATGGAAGCCACGTGGCTGTTTGAAGAGGCTAGAGCATCAAGGCTTCGACGGATGATGCTCAAGGAGAAAAATCACTTAACCGGTATTATTCCACTTCTTATATATATATATATATATATATATATATATATATATAACATGTGTGTGTGTGTAGTGTGTGTGTGTGTGTGTGTGTGTGTGTGTGTGTGAATATAAGTTTTTGGATCTCTCCTAGTTATACATTTTTTATTTCTATAAATTTAACGAGTTATATATATTGCTTTTCTCTTCCAAGGCGTGTTGAAGATCACAGAAGAACCAGGGAAGAAGAAGGAAGGAATGATGATGCAAATGAAGAAACCTGATCCATTGGATTGATCCATCTATGTAGTATCTACTCTATCACATGAATTAGTGTTTTTTGGTTTTAGATTAGAAATATTGGTGCTTGGTGATGGATAAGTATCAAAATTTTAACCAAGTGGTTGTAAATCCACTAAATTATAAAAGGTTCAAACTGTTAAAAAAACATATATCAACATATATCTTCTTTCTCTCAATAACATGTAATATACGAATTTGAACTGGTTGGGTGACAGGACAACTACAATAATCTAAACCACTGAGCTAAATGTATATTATAGTCTCTTTTTGATTCATGTGTTCCAACTTCCAACTGATATTAGTGTGAAAACTTTTGCTAGTTAAGTTTTCTTCTAGTTTATCCTTCTAATGTGAAATGGGTTGTATGTATATAGATAAGATCGTATCCTCAAAAAGTTATATACATAAATTAAAAATCCGCGTTCTCAATATATTTAATGGGTTCTTACAAGTTACAACGTTGTTATGTTGGCATTGGATAAAGTGGAAATGAGTATTTTATATGAAGAAGTAAATGGTAGAGGTATGAGTCGTAGAAGGTGGGGAGGACCACAAAACCACATTAAGCTCCGCGTGATCATTCTTTTACTTGAATATATGGCTTCAGTGTAGACAATTTCACGAGTTTTCGTACAATACTTATACTAAACTATTTTTTCTGTTATAATGAAGTCATGGCAACTACTTTTTAAAATATTTGTGATGATGTCGGTAAAGTACAAAGGTTTAGGCTTATAACCAAAACGTTGGAATAATGGTGCCAAATCTCATACATCGAGGTTCTTGTACAAAGGTTTAACGTTAACAAGGTATATATTGTTAAGATTGAAACTTAGCTCTGATCAGGCCTAACATATATAAATCACTTGTGACTACAACTAAGCTTTCTACTGAAGTAATCGATACATAAGAGTGGATTTAGACATCTGCGGCTCTCTTTCCAGTACAGCAACCACATCCTTTACAGAGATTGTCCTCACCACTTTTGGTTGCAGCGACGAACCTTGGTTCTTCCCTAATCGTCGACCACCTGCAAACCAAAGAATCATCCATAGCTTATTATATCGAACAAAACCTCAATCAACTAAGCTAACTCAATAACTGCAACATCCACAAAAGCCATATCACAACAAGACTTCTTAGCATTTCCCAAGACTAGAGAAAGAAATGAGACACACCAGCTCCAGAAAACCGTCGTCCACCATCTTGTCTGTCTTTGGAGTTTCTTCCTCCACCTGAAGTAGCATTCTGGTTCCCATCTTTACCAGCTTCAGATACAGATTTCTGACGAGCTTCTGCCATCATTTGCCATTTCAGAAACGTGTCATCTCCTCCCACAGCAGCCCGAGCAGCAACGTTTGCAGCTGTCGTCCTCATTTTGTCGTCGTCCTCTTTGTTTCCTCCCTTCACATATAAAAAAAAAACACTTTTTCAGAGAACCATTGCAAAAATGTGGCTCCACAAATGTAATTATTGATTTCTCTCCATTACCTTCACACCCTTTGAACGGTTATCTTCTTTATCCTTCTCACTATCAGCTCCACCATCACCTTCTTCACCCTGCAGTAAAAACAGAAACAAAAAATAACTAATTTCGCAATGTCTGTGTGTTATAGAAAACTTTAAGAACTTAGACAATGAGCTCAGAACAGACCTCGCTCGGTTTCTTAAGCTTTTCTGCTTCAGCTTGTTTCTTCTCCCATTCCTCTTTCACCTTCTGATTCATTTCATTGATTTGATGCCGAATATCTGACGTGATAAAAGTCCGGTGTCTAGATTTCTCAGTATCAACCCTCTGCAAAAAGCACTTTTAGCTTGAGAACAAATATTAGACCTAACAATGTTGGACCAGGTAGTAAGAGAAAGTTAGACTGACCTGCTTTGACAACCGAATTATATGAGATAATAGTCCTCGCATCCTTTCCTCCACACACTGAAACCACCAAATGGATGAGAAAAGGAGAAAAAAAAATAAAAAGCTCAAGAAGTACAGTATGCAAAAAATGAAACATGAAGTTGACATTCTCACCAAAGACAAGCACCGTTCGACATCATTGCTTATACTCTTTAATCCGACTTTCGCCACTGCCAGATTGAAAAACATATATAAGCTTCTTCTCCAAGTGATATAAAACCTATATCCTAAAAAAGCATGACAGAAATAACCAAGAAGTATCCTAACTGATTTCCGCAAGCTTTTTCTGCAGCGGACTTTTCTGCAATATTAATCTTTCTTCCTCCTCATGCACAACTCTCCGAGATGCTTCAGAAACACGACCATCTTCTTTGGCCGCAGAGAATAATTGTTCTTCCTCTTCCTAAACAAGATGCAGACACCAAAAGAAATCCATTTATTTAGAACTCCACGGCCAGGTTTAAATTGAAAACTGAAGCTACCAGGAAACGCACCCTGAGATTAACACCACTGACTGCAGTGACATCATTGAGCTGTTCAATACTTTGATCCATAGAATTCCCTACTACTTTCTGCTTCTTGCTGCAAGTTCATCCATGCAAACCAACAACGATGATTTATTTTACGCGGGGAACCAAAAATAAAAGTGTTTTAAGAAGTAAAATCCAAATCTTTCTAAACCTGAGCAGCTCAATTACCTCGGTGGTGGTGGTGAAGAACCTAATGTCTCAAGAGGTTTCTTCTGACCAACAGAAGGCTTTTTGGGTGGCGTCCTGGAGCTAACTCCTGCTTGAGACGTACCCAATGGGCCACGAGAATTCATCTGGTGGTCACACAAAAATTTGTCAATGATTAATGTCAATATAACAAGGAAAATATGCAAGAGCTGGTGAAGCCCCATGGAAGAGCTCAAAGAGAAGAGGCAAACAAAGAACACTTGAAAATGACTTTCATAATGAGAAAATTATATATAAATCGCTCTCTTACTGCTGTGCTAGCTTCCAGTTGAGCTGTGATGGAAGTAGTCACAGAGCTTGCATGCGCCATGTTACCAGGTGTGGATAAACCCATTCTAGAGGACTCCTTCTCTAAATCCTGGTTTGAAGTCCCTGAGGCTGCATTATTCTGGTCAAAACTTTGATCAACTGATTCCTGCTTTACATGCGACGTTGCTGATGGTGAAGAATTCAGAGGCAATGATGAGCTGTTCTGGAAGTGCGATGTAGCGCCACCTTGAACCCTATTAGGATCATTTACAGAAGTTGGCCTCTCAAACTTGGGCATAGTCATCATGTTTGTGGTAGACTGGGGCGGTCCTCCCAGACCAGCTGATCCCATGGTCTGGTTATGTGTCATTTGTCTCATATGGGAGTCAGGAAGGTGCGGTCTCAACGAGGAACCGGGAACATTGGTGTTTTGACCTGGAAATGAGTGAAAACTACCAGGGCTGTTATACATGGGAAAAGAACTTGGTGGAAGCTGCATCTGGTGCTGCGGATGTTTGGTAAGTCCCTGCACAGGAACTGAATTGCCGGTTGAGGAAGGCAATTGGTTTAGGTGGACGCCACGAGGATCAGACTGAGGTTTTTGATTATTGCTTTCTGCGATTAAATAGATTGAATCAGGTAATGGTTTTGTTTGGAAATATAAGAAATAGCTACGGAAAGTATAAGACTTTTTCTGATTCTCGTGAAAGAAAAAACAAGAATGCATCAGTGAATGATATATACCAGTTGAAGGAGCTTGAACTCCCATTTTACCCTGGTTATAGTTAACCTGAAAACAATGATCACAATTAAAAATAAATAAGTATTTAACTTGTAATGCAGACCCACTAAATGCTACATTGCTACCCATGGTAAGATGCTCAGAATTGCAGGAATTTTAAATGCTTCATCAGGTTTACACATTTTTATTATTGGAAAAACGAGATATAAATAATCGTATCAGTTGCTATACTTGAACTAGTCCCATTCTGAGAATGTTATTAAAACAATGAAGTAACTCTGGAAGTATCAATTTAGCACCCTTTTAATATGCTGATACGAGCCTGCGCTCTTGTAACAGGAATCGTTGCTATTGGTCAGAAAAGAGAATGATTGCAAAGCTTACTTTTAAGTTTTAACTCTAGTCTCTCTTAGAGAAGCTTACTTTTAAGTTTCATTAACCAATAAAGACCCTTATATAAGTTACTGTACAAATTAATCATAAACCTATTGCAAAAAGTAAAAAACACCAAAACCAATTTCAAAAAGGAAAAACACCAAAAGTCTTTGATTAAAAACTTTTAAATCATATCTCGTATCACATGACATGTCCCCAAGTAGACAAAGTGTGAATGAAATGTGACAAACGCAGTCAGTAAAACCATATAATTATAATCTGCTAAGATATCATTCTGTAAAAAAAAAGACATTTTGACTGTGAACAAAATCGAGGAAAATCAGGGTTTTGCCTAAGTCAATAATTTTTGAAGCCACTGCAAGGTGAAGGAAAGAAGTGCAATCGAGAAAGGATGCAGACAATGCAAGTACGACCTTCTGGTTAAGTATTTTGCAATAGACGCTACAAAGTTTTCAGACACACGAATCCAGCATGAACTCCATTTGCAAAACTTATACCCTAATTGGCTAATTCGAGTGCCTGGTATTAGTCACTACATGACACAAACTATGCAAAGTTGTTTTACCTGCTGTAGTTTACTGACTGCCAACCGAAGCATCTGATCGCCTACAATATCCTTCATATGTCGCGTGAACCCCTCTTTGGGGATTTCATTTTTCTGCAAACAAGCATCATTAAGCAAACAATGAAAAGGCAATAGCTTTGGAACAGAATGTCAAGTAATTTCACAGATAGACATACCTTAAGTCTAGAATATAGGGTCCGGAGCTGCAGTGCTCTATCTTTATCGAGTTGAGCCATTAAGGTAGGGAGCAAAGCAGCAAACGGTACTTGCTTAGGGTTGCGGTTCATAGGGTTAACAGGCTGTTCCACTCCCCGAGCCTGTTGGCTACTCATCTTTTGCAGTTTCATATACTGAGATTCACTCTCTTGATTATGCGATCTTTCTGGTTCGTTAACTGTAGGATTCTTTTCAGGAATCTGCACCCCGGATGTTTGAGGGACCTGCGACTGCGAAGGATTCTCCCAGAGTTGACCTGCTCGGTGAAGGTCTTGAGGCTGGTTGTGTTGTAAATGAGATTGAGATTCATTTGCGCGTTTTAAATCATGTTGGTGTTGATTCTCTGAAGCTGGCCCTTGTTGCTCCTTCATCTGAGTGCTTTCAAGGCTGTGCTGCGTCTGGAGATTAATATTAGCATCTCCGACACCGTTTTTCCATGGCGCAAACTGCTGGCTGGGTGAATGGTTGTTTCCTACAGAAATAATTCAAGCAATTGACTTATGATGATGCCAAGAAAATCCATGTTCGGTAGCTCCAGATACACCCACCCATCCACAGATCACAATCTAATTGAATTTCAATATCTAATACAGAGAAAGAGGATAGAGATCACTTCCATCACCAGAGACACAGAGAAAAAAGAAGAGATTTAAGGAGCCACACTACCAACGTCATGATTTCACTAAAACAACATCAAGATCATCAACCTACTATCCACCTATCTAAAAATACTAGTTTATCGAAACAAGCACACCTTTGCTAACATTTCATAGATTCCACAAGCATCCACTCTAAGATCAAACCTAAAAATCTCATTTTTCTGTAGAACATTAGTGCACCTGAACCACTCCATAAATTCGAGAATTTGACATAGAATTCCTCAAAAAAAACAAAACTTCATCTTTCATACTTTATACTCCATACTAAATCAAGCCCTATTTTACAACGAAATTGTAAAACGATGAAGACAAAAAAGGAAGCTGAGAAATTGAAAAGGCGAGAATTGGATAAAAAAAAGCCAAACCAGGGTTCGTCACGAGCGGCAGTGAAGTACTCATAGAACCTTCGATATCTCGATTCAGAGCAGCCTGGAACGCGTCAACATCAGCTCCCGAATGCATCGATTCATCCTAATTACACACAAAATTCGCCGGAAATCAAAATCACGACTACTCTCCACCCACAGAGCAAGACATCAATATGCAGGAGTTTTAGAAACGAGTGAGATTAGAAATCTAACCTCGTCTTCTTCGAGGAGCTTGAAAATTGAAGGATCCATAGATAAAAGCTCAAACGCTGGGGAAGAAGAGAAAAGGAAAGAGCTGAAGAACCGACGAAAAGGAATTAAAAGGAAACAAGTGTTAACAAATCTCAAATTGTAAATTGCAAATAACTCCTTATATAAACAAGTAAAGTAGGTTTTGCCATTCAATTTTTCAATTAGACTAATAGGCCCGGTTTATTTTGGTTTGAAACTTTTTTATTCGGTTTGGGTTCATTTTGGTTCATTTCCCCTGTTGTAAACCTCATGTCGTTTATTGGTATTGTATAAGCTTGTTATGTCGTTCTAATGCAAGTACCAAAACGACATCGTTTGACTCAAAACAAAATTGTAAACAGAGAGAGAGAGAGAGAGAGATACAGAACCTCACTGTAGCTGCCGCCATTGACGAATCACCGGAGATCACAACGATGAACATCGTTGCCCTGAGCAAACGTTTAATCTCTCCTCGATTCTCTAATCCTGTTTCTCTCCACGGAATCAACGATGCCCTCGCAGAAACTGTTGTCTCCGGTCGGAAACCAATCCTCGGATTTTACGGCCGATCCTTTCACCACCTGCGTAAAGTTGGGAATTACGTAGCCCCTCGTGTGTTCTTCGTGTCTTCGCGTTTTCGAAATCTATCGACGAATTCTTCTTCTTCTTCGTCGAAACAACCTGCGTTTCTACGATGGTATTTGAGAAAACTGGAGTCGAACCCTTTCATGACCAAGAGCATCACTACTTCTCTCATCTATATGGCCGCCGATCTCACTTCTCAGGTCAGATCATCAATGGTGAATTTAGGTTTAATGTTTGAAGTAGTAATTGCGAATTTAGGTTTACTAATTGAGAATTTCGGTTTTGTATTCCAATTGCATTACTATTTACGATTTTGTCTTATAGAGTTTTGTTGAAAATTTGAACTTTTCCTCTTGGTTTGGGACGAAAACACTAATCTCTCACTCTCATTGTTTGTTACAATTCCAAATTGATTTGGTATGTTTAGGATGAAAATTACAAATTTATTCTGTATATGTTCTCTTGTGAATTTGAAGTCTTTCTGTTAGAAAATCTCCAAATTTATCACTCAGAAAACTCACATTTCAATCGTTTAATCTTCTTGTTATCTCTTGTGAATTTCTTATATTTATGGTAGAATTTGTTTTTGTGATACATATAATATAAACTCTGTTTTTTCATCTATGGATTTCTTCTCATGTAAAATGCAGAGAACAAAAGACCATTTTATGTTTTGATTTTGTGTTTGACACTCTAAAATCTTCAAACAGATGATCACAATGCAGCCATCTGGTTCATACGACCTGATAAGAACAGCAAGAATGGCTAGCTTCGGGTTGGTATTTCTCGGTCCGTGTCAGCATGTATGGTTCAGTTATCTCTCTAGAATATTGCCGAACCGCGACGTTTTGACAACCTTCAAGAAGATAATGATGGGACAGGCTCTTTTCGGGCCTTTTAGCAACACCGTCTTCTACTCCTATAACGCTGCTTTACAAGGTACATATTTCATAAGCGCTTATGGATTGATTGAAGTGCATCCTTTGTTTTCAAATGGATTTAACTTTGGTTCTTGGTGTTTAGGTGAAACTTCTGAGGAGATTTTGGCGAGATTGAAGCGAGATCTTGTGCCAACGTTGAGAAATGGACTTTTGTATTGGCCTCTCTGTGATTTTGTTACGTTCAAGTATGTGCCTGTTCATCTACAGGTAAATTCAGATAACTCTCTATCTTGTTACCTGTTTTGGGCTGATTTTAGAAGTATTTTTCGACTTCAACATGTGAAAATCTTTTGGTTGCAGCCACTGATGAATAGCTCTTGCGCGTATATATGGACGATTTATTTGACGTATATGGCAAATCAGACGAAAGCTGACAGCTGAAACAATGACAAGATTGACTGTTCTTAGCCACGCACAATCGCATTCTATTTATTTCATTGAACCGTGAATTAAAAGATTAGTACAAGTATTTTATTTTATTTTTCCTTTTGGTGTTTACAGTACCACAATTGTTTTGCATCTTGATTCAAACTTTCGAAGCACAGATTTATCAGGAAGCCCCATCATGATAAAAATGGTGGAACTACAAACAAATCACTAAAAGAATGGTGCAACTACAAACAAATCGCTACAAACTCTTTTTTGTTTGATTACTCCGAAAAGAAAAGCATGTAATATATTTCCTTGGTTACCATCGATTACGAAATCACAAAGTTATTTTTATCCATTTGAAGGGTGAAAATATTTACGTCATTCATTCGGCATAAATAGATGTCATTTAAATTGTTAGAATAAGTTCAGCTAGTACACCAATTCACTCTAAAATATATTCCTGTTTACCTTTTGTTACATTCTTGTAACACTTTAAAATATTTTTGTCTTAAAAGGTTTATGAAAATAGTTATATCTACCAAATTAATCGAAAATAATTAAGGTACATACTGTATGAGGCTAACCACATAGTTCACATTTCAAGCCGAACTTAGGCCATCTTTTAGGTAATTTTGCCTTTAATCACAAAACATCCCCTTTTCCTAGTGGCCAGAAACAAAACATCAAATTTTCTTATTAATTTAGGTGCAAACATCAATTTTTCTTATTTTTTTTAGGTACAAAACATCAAATTTTCTTATTTTTTTAGGTGCAAACATCAATTTTTCTTAAACATCAGTTTAGTTGTAGGTATTTCACCATTTTGCTCTTTTGTTAATTTTTTTAACAAATTTTGAAGACGAGATATTTGCTGAAGAGAAAAAAAAAACATTAGATCTTTGTTTTTCCTCATTTCTCCACAGAAAATGAATTAAAAAGACCAATTTGAAGTCTAAAGCCATCAGGAGATCTCCACGTGGGAACAACTAAGACCTACCGACAATTTAATATTAATCGTCGAAATCAAAGGGCACTGAAGAAGAGGACCCACATTGATTCTCATACGTGGCGTAAATCCAGTAGACGTTACTGACGTCAGCATGCCGAAAGCATAAAAGACGTAGTTAGTTTTTAAGTTGGTCACTCTTTCCTCTCCTACTTTCGTCTTCATTTCTTTTGGAAGTTTTTAACTTCCTCAACTATAAAAATATAAGGGAAAATTGGAATTAAATGAAGTTTTAAATGTATGTTTAGTAATCTACACTTTTAGTATTTTGTTCATTTTTGGACTAAATTAACCTTAGATCAATTATTATAATAATCAATAATTTTTAAAATTCAGAGAAATGTGAATAAAAATATAAAAAATTGAAAACACCATAGTAACATTTTTATGATTTTAAGTGTAAAAACAAAAATTGAAAAAAAAATGTTTAGTTATTCTTCTAAAAATTTTAGAATCCGCATTCTAACGTTCTAAATTTTTTAGAATATGAATTCTAACATTTCAGCATATTCTAAAATTTTTAGAATGCATATTCTAAAATTTGTACATGTTCTAAAACTTTTAGAATGCGGATTCTACGTTCTAAATTTTTTAGAATATGAACTATAACGTTTCAACAGATTCTAAATTTTTTAGAATGCATGTTCTAAAATTTGTACATATTCTAAAAAAAATAGAATGCGTATCATACGTTCTAAAATTTTTAGAATCTGTGTTCTACAAATTGTACATATTCTAAAACTTTTAGAATGCATCTTCTATGATTTTAAGAATGCAAATTCTAGAGTTCATACAGGTTCTTAAAATTTTAGAATGCACATTCTATCTCTAGATTCTAAAAATAAAACAAAATCAATATTAGGAAGTGAAATCCCAAAAAATCTCTCTCAATATCTTCTTCTATTTTCTCCATCCTCTTCGTGGCCTCTGTTTCTTCTCAATCTTAACATCACCTTTTCCCTTCTACTGTATTTCACTTATCTCAGGTCCACTAAGCACATGTTTGATATTTAATTCTTTTAAAATTGTGCATGATAATCACTAAGTACGCAAAAAGTAACCGTTTGTAAGGGATCAGTCTCATATTAAGTTCACCATGTTAAGTTCATTGTCCTTCCAAAATATGGATGTCACCTGTCGGACGATTTCACATAAACTTCAAATGTTATGCTATGCGATAAGTAATAAAAAAGGACTGCAAGACGTAAAGAGTAAGTAAGCAACCACATTGGAAAAACAAAAAAAGAAGTCTCTTGCATTGTTAGTCTCATTGATAATACAAATTCAAACTTCAGAATGAAAATTATCTAAGACCAAAAAACAAAGTTTCTGACTGGTATGAGATGAATATATATCTAAGAAATGAAAAATTGTTATGGTTTAAATAATCACTATATACGTTCTAGGTTGATTGAATCCAAGGTACGGTCGTGTGGGATATCGTCACCATAGTGACGGAGAAGCCGGTCCATGAGAGTGGTCTTCGAGTGATCGACATGAGTAATTACAGCAACATTCGTATAAAGAATAAAAGCAAGGCTCATATTAATTAATCTTTCCTCTAATTCTTATATATATGAATTTTTAATTAGTTAAGGTATATAGGTATTTTAATTAGTTAGGGTATATAGGTATTTTACATCCATATAAAGATTAATCCCCCAAAGTAAAAAATAAAAGGTATAGATCACCAAAGATGTAGTAAAAACATCATTTATTTCCAATTATCCCAAAATATAAATACCCGAAAAAACATTTTTAGAATTACTGTTTCGAAAAGTACACAAAATTTATATCATGTTTTAGGATGTCCGTGATCTAAATATTTAATCAATGAATTTTGATATGCATCTTGAACTAATTAAGATAAAAATTCGATTAGCTATCAAAACAATTTTTGAACGCATATTCGTAAAACAATAAATTGTATTTAAAATATTTATTAGATACTAGTCAAACTCTATTTTTCATAAAGTGAAGAAAAAAAACTAAAGGTATTTGCATTTTTTAATTCAACATTTCAGAAAATATTTTGTTAAATAAGAATAAAACATAGAATACGGCTGGTATTTATTTTGTTCGTTTCGTTAAAACACTTTTAGTGCGACCAATTATAATAAAAACTTTTAAAATACATTACATCCCTCTCACTCCGTCTATTTAATTGGAGCTATTGCTCGTAACGTCAGTTTTTTGGGGGTTGGGTTTGTTTTACATTCTCTCTCTCCTCTCTCTCTCTCTGTTTCTCTGTCTCTCTCAAGCTCTCAAATGGCCGGCCTGAGATGGAGAGAGTGGTGGAACACGATGGCGTTCCCCACACGGAAGATCTGGAACCGTTTCTCCGTTCGCGTCGGATTCCGTCACAGTGGTAAGCTCCGACCATCCACCGTCCTTTCTCGGACTTCTTAGGAGTCTCTTTCTTTCTGTTTCATGGCTTTGAGAGAGAAACGGAAAATCATTTTTGAATATTTCTTTGAATCTTTTTAATCAGAGTTGGTCGTTGGATCAAGACTTCATCAGTTTCTTTTGTTCTTCTTGAAACTGTCGGTGGAATATTCTTTTAACTATGCGAAGTAGCTACAGAGAAAAAACCAAAAAAAAAAAGTAGCTAGAGAGACACTTGTCTGTTATCAATAATAACTCGAAGGCTACTTTTAAAGGCTTCTTGAAACTGGAAAGTCCTAGAGTGAATCATGTGGTGTTTTGTTAAATATCAGATTAAACTTTTAAATTCTTCTTATTGGTTTTAGATTGAAATTCTGATTCATCCGTCTTTTCTTAACCAAAAGAGTCTAGTGGTTTGTTGTTCTTGTTCTTGTTTTTTAATATTTTCTTGTTCTTGAAAATATATACTGAGTGACGATGTTCTTGTGTGTTTTGCAGGACTCTTGAGGTTACAAAACGACGTGAACTCTTGCGAGTACGAAGACATACACATCATGTGGAACCTCTTGCACAAGAACGAAGATCCGACACCGACACGTGGCGGTGGCGGAGGCGCACGCATCCGACAACGAATCCAACAAAGGAAGAAAGCTTGTTGGAATCTCTTCGGTTCATATCTTTGCCAGAGATTCTGATCAAAAACACCAAAAAGAATATACCAAAACCATCGTTGTAATTGAGAGGGCCTTGACGGGTCCCCTGCAAGCGTGTGGTGTGGTTTATTTGACAAGTTTCGCAAATATAATAAAATCCGAGGTTGCACAGTTTTTAGCTGTTATATTTCATGGTAATGGCATGCCTCACTGTATGTATTTTTGAGCATTATCGTCACTTGTGTGTTGTTGTATATATGATACAGATGCTTCTCATATATGGAGTTTGGTGCTACTATGTTCACCCTAGCTATATGGTTTTTTCCCCCTGTTTTTGCTTATTTACATTAGAAAAACAATTCAATAAATAAAAATACATTAGAAACACAACAAATCTGAAAGACCTTTGTCCAAAAAAAAAAAAAACACAACAAATCATTATTTTTTTTCAAATATTGATACATACTGCATATGGCTTAATTTTCAGTTAATAAATTAGACATCAAGAGTTCTCACTATTTGTTATAGTTTTAGGTCTTATAGCGTTTAAAAAAAATATAATGCTTTTATTTTGTTTGTAATTTATTTAGCATAAACAAGTATTTTTACAAAATACTCTATACTACTTTTAAAATTTTAAATTTAGTGTGCTAGATTGACAAAAAAAGACTAATTCTTTATTATTTTGAAGTATCTATCTTCTTCGTATCTAAAGTCTATAAGATTAATATATGATTGCCTTGTATATTTAAGTTAACGAAGCGTCGATTTACTTCTTGAAATATAGGTAAGACTCGCCGTTGTGTAAATTTCTCCAAAGTTAATACATCAATAATATTAATATCATAAAATTGGATTTTTTATTGATATACTTGTCGTTTTAGATTTATTTTTCAATTTCAAAACTTTCTTCCTTTATTCTTTTTAAATGCAGTTACTTATGACCAAAAAAACCTTGTGTACGTAGCCATAAAAATTGAGTAAAGAAAAGCATAGTCAAAACTATTGAAACGAAATAGAATTTTAAAAACCTCATGTTATTATAAGAACATAATATATTTAATTGGTTTCTTAATTCGTAGGAAAAGTGTCCGAAGGACATTTATATTGAAATCTGTGGAGGATAAGTTCTTGAGAATAAAATGAAAAAATTATTAGAAATATAAAATCAAATGCTTTTTCATGAAAGAAGAACAATAGTGGTATTTAAATAGGCATCTTTACTCTTTCGGAAGAAAAAAATACACACCTATTGGCCTACTCCATTAAACAGATGAGACTTCAAACTTTGTGGCCACTGAAAATTATCTTAATTAAAAACAAAATCAGCCAATGAAATCTATGGAGAAAAGATGAGATGTCAGAGTCAATTGGTTAGATACTGATGTCCAAATAAAGGTGTGAGAGTTTACTCTGTTTTGTTGCACATAGATGTGTCGGCTGCTTCTGGGCTTATTTAAAGGGTGGTCTTTTGAAAGAGTAATCCACAAGTATTGTGTGATGATGTGATGGCTTTTTCTCCTTTTTTGGGTAGACATTTCACCTAACGACTAATCACGACTCATTGATTTTTCTTTAAGTGTAACTAACGCATTTTAATATTCATATACTCTATTGTATTTTTAGTTTTGTTTTCGGGCAAGTCTATTACTATATTTTTATTTTTCTCAATCTTTCTGGTCAATTTTAATCTGAGTTCTGAAATTACTAATCCATATTCTACGCAACTTTATAATTTATAATATTTTCATGGCAATACACGTACGTTAATCCCCTCACAAGAAAGCTTGTATATTTGTCACGAGGAGTTTAAGCTACTATTTGTTTAGCTTTATCAAATAAAAAGACTTCGGGATTTCTACGTATAGCACTTAATGCCCCTCACAAGAAAGCTTGAATATAACTTGAGGAATTGGAACCGAAAACATATTAATTATTCAACTTGAAACAAAAAAAAACATTGATTCTTGGAAACTTGACGATTTGGAGCCGAAAAACATATTAATTCTTGGAAGCTGTTAGTTAAAGATGTATATAATGAACATCCATACTCCATAGTTTAAATTGCAGTGACTTGTTTTTATTTATTTTTGTTAACCAATAGATGATCCGGGTTTTTACCATCCAATTAATCTTTCTCACGGTTCGAGTAGTCCACTGACCAAAATTTTTAATATGTCTAAAGCATGCCATCATTTCGACTGACCATAGGAGTAGTTAAGTAATTGCAGCAAAACTTTACAGTATCGCATAATGATACTTGAAAAAAGAAAACCGACTAAACAAAATAATCGATAGTGTCCAAATGACGAAAAACGCAAAGATGCAGAAGCTAACATTCATGTAAGTAATGTATATCATCAACTTATGTTTTTTTTTTTTTTGGATCATCAACTTATGTTTGCAACAAGTCGTGGAGGATAATGGGGTTAGGAATTATCACAAGGAGCTCACATGTATTGTTTAAAGGTTATTTTTTTCATGTACAAACAAACGCCACAATATGAACACATATATCCAACTGTTGATTTAGATACTCAAGGAGACACATACAAAAAGCTACGAGCAAAAAGAATATCGGTAGTTCAAGTGATTTCAAAGATATGATCAAAGTGAAATAAAACAGAGCAATGCATGTGGTGGTCCATAATTTTCTATGATGGTCAGTTGGTCACAATATAGTTCGCTCAATTTTTTTTTTAGTTAAAAACACTAAAGAATGGCTGAAAAAGTATTGACATGTAATATGACACCTACTTTGGACTGCATTAAATTTTTTTTTTTTTTTTTCAATAACATGTAATATCCGAATTTTAATCTGAGTCATAAGGAAGCGACTATAGTAATATGCACACATGACACATGTCTTGGTTATGTTTAAAAAGAAACTCAAGCATGAAAGCAATATGGTAAAGAGTTTACATTAACAACAAAACATATTGCTAGAAAACATTCAATAATGGACCATTTTATTACTAGTACCTAGAAGGCTAGAACACAATTCCAAAACTTCTCCAAATAGTTCCTATTAATATAAGTTCGTTGACAAGTAAAAACATTTACTCCCTTCGTTACATAATAAGTGTCGTTTTGACTCTTGACTTACTCAGTGTATCTAGATGTATTAATAAGTGTTATTTTGACTCTTGACTTACCCAATGTATCTAGATGTATATGAATATATTAAGATTCAAAACACATCCAAATACATCATTAAATAGTACATATTCATTTTGTCGAAACGACATTTAACATGAAACGGAGAGAGTCATTTTTTTGTATAGGAATTAGTAAACATTATTGACATGCATTTGTGAAGTAATTAAGAATTTAAGAGGAGTGTATGAAATCGAAAAGTTAAGACTATACGAGTCCAAAAATTTGGAAGGCAAAAAGAAAGCGAGGTACGTGGAGAAACTCTCACAAAAATGGCGTAATTATCTCCATCCACCTTCCCACCTCCCACACTCTCTAATCTCTATTCTCTCGCCGGCGATTTATACTTAACAGTACACTGCGCAAAATTGACTCACATTCCAAATTAAAATACCCCCAAAACCCTACTTTCGCCGGGAATCTCTCAAACCCGTTGAAGAGAATCTTCTTCCCCCCAATACAAAATCTCCTCGCTCACATTCCTTCTGCGACAATGTTGTTGATTTCCCAATGTCGGAGATGACAGCTGCAATTTCACCTCCTTTCAACGCCGGAGCTAAATCTACTAGACCACCGTCGGAAACACCGAGTCATCGCCGGGTTAAAACACGAGACGTAGCATCGCGATACCTCGACACCACCACTTCCTCGTTCTCGTCTTCTTCTCTATTCCAATCATCGCCGGCGAAGAGATGTCAATCGCCGACTGTCACCAGGACGAATCGCCCCGCGACTCCTTCGCAATCGGCGACAATTCGACCGCAATCATCAACAGGGCGGAGGCAGTCGGTGACGCCACGTCGCGACTCGTCAGATCGACGAGGTGGTAGTGGCGGAGAGGAGGTTTCTGCAGCGGAGAGGATGTTGTTAGCTTCTGGGAGAGGCTTGTTCGCGTCGTTTCAGGCCGATTCGTTCACAGGACACGAGAACAGATCGAAGCTAAATTCATCGCCGAGGACGAGTGTTGGGACTCAACAAGAGAAATCGAAGCTCTCCGAGCAATGGCCTAGGTCTCTCAAACCTAGACATTGTCTCAGCAGAAGCGTCGATTTCACCGATACCATGAAGATACCAAGCGGATCTTGCAACGGTGTAACGCAGAGCTCCATGGCGAGTAATAGACCGGTTTCGCATGGAAGGACAATGTCAGATTCCACCATTGTTGGATCCTTTTCTATGATCTCTGACGCAGAGAGCGTTTCTTGTGGAAGCTCTAATGGAAGAAGGAGAAACTTACCAGCTAGTGGCGTTGTGGTTAAGGCGAGATTCTCAGAGCCTTGCTCACCGGTTGCAAGATGTAATGGGACGAGGAAGCTCTCAGTGGATAGCTCTAAGCGTGAGCAGATTCGAGATGCTTCACCTGGCAAGTTTGGTATGAGTATGAGTCTAGCTTCTTCGAGTCCGAGAGGAAGTAGCATTGGTAGGGGAATAAGCCCTTCGAGAGGCGTGACTGTTCCTCCCAGAGGGATGATGAGTCCACTAAGAGTGAGAAGCACGACGACGCCTTTGGTTCTGAGTTTTGCTAAAAAGGAGAATAGTGTCGCTGATGATGCTCACTTGTTAAGGCTGCTTCACAATAGGTTGCTTCAATGGCGGTTTGCTAATGCTCGAGCAAATGCTGCTATCACGGCTCAAAAGATGAGAGCAGAGGTAAGCAATCTTTTTAGAACATTTGGTTATAGATATCACTATGAATGTGACAACAATTTGATGGTTTTTGATTGCAGAAAAGACTTTACAATGCATGGAATCACATCTCTAAGCTGTATGATTCAGTCAGAGCCAAAAGAATCGAAATGCAGCACTTGAAGCACAACTTGAAACTGTTATCCATTCTCATTAAGCAGGTAAGATAAATCGCTTTCGCTTATGTAATCTTTTAAGTAACACTTGATATTGAGTTATTTGTTCTGTGTATAGATGACATATCTGGAGGAATGGTTAGTAATGGACCGAGACCATACGAGTTCTTTAGTAGGAGCTGCTGAAGCGTTGAGAGGCAGCACGCTTTATCTACCTGTCGATTACATGGCAACGGTTTGTAGCTTCTCTCTTAACTCAAAACGCTTCTCTATTAAGTTTCGCGTTCTGATGATGATCTGATCATAATGCAGGTGAATGTACAAAGTGTTAAAGATGCTATTTGTTCAGCTGTTGATGTGATGCAGGCAATGGCATCTTCCATATGCTTGTTGCTCCCAAAGGTGACCACTTTTTTTCTTTTCTCTCCTTGCGTTTGAATGTTAAGGAGCAAAGGATGCTTATGTTTTTGGATTTTTTTTTTCGCAGGTTGTGAAAGTAAGTGGCTTGGCAGTAGAACTTAACCGTGTCAATGTCAAGGAGCAAAGGATGCTTGAATTGTGCAGGGACTTTCTTAACATAATCTCAGCTCTAGAGGTAATTCGTTTTCGATGCCGTTCTATAAATCATTCTCGGTTATGAGATTTTGGTGATTTACTGTTGGAATTCGCAGGTAGTGGAGTGTAGCTTGAGGACACAGGCTATACAGATACAATATTGAGCTGTTAAAGCTCTTAACAAGCAGAAGAAGATCATCAAATGAATATAGAGAAACCAAATTTTTGATTTGATAGTTTAACAATTAGATTTGTAAATATGCAAAGTTTGGTGTTCTAATGAAGTTTATGGTTGCTAATTTTGTTTATTGTTCTAATGGAAACAAAGTACACTGGAATCAGATTTATAAGCCATCTTCCAAATATCTACACATTTCTTTGATCGTTAAGAATAAAGAATCAACAAAACTGATGAAGAAAAGAGAAATGTTGAGATTTGGTATTGAAATCCAAGAAACTTACTGGAGACGGAGCTTTTTCGACGGCATCACTTCGTCGTCCGACGAGAATTCCGTTACCGGCGTGATGTTAAGGTCGAATCGACGGTGGCTACTGCTGCTGACGTGGCTAGTAGATCCCAAACCTTCCGAATTCGAAACGACGCTACTTCCTTCGTAGTGGCGCCGTTTGTGGCCGCCGAGAGCTTGACCGGTGGCGAACGATCTCTGACAGATCGAGCAAACGTGTGTCTTCACGACGGCGATGGACGGTGTCCGCGAATTCTTCTCATCACCGCCACCGCCGGAGAGATTCCGGTGACTGGCCCTGTGACCGCCGAGAGCTTGGTAAGACGGAAACGTCTTCTCACAAACGCCGCAATTGTAAATCGGCTTCTCCTCCGCCGCCGCCGACACAGAACCACCGCGATCTCCGTCGCGAGCGAGAAGCATCAGGCAGAAAGCGAGATACTCTTCCTCAGTGAGATGATGAGGATGATCAGATCTGGAGCGTCTAGATCGCTTACCTTTGGTCCAATGCTCAACGCCATGGAATCCGGTGGAATCTTCGAAGAGAGCCGGTACTGGAGAAGCTAATCTCGGTGAATTAAGAGCTTCAAGCGCCATTGAAACAACCAAATCCGAGAGCAGAGAGAAAATTGAAGAGTGTGTTGGAAGAAGAATCTAGAGGAAGTTGCGTGGAGAAGAAGAGGTGAAAGAAGAAAGAGTTTAAAAAGAGAGTGAGTGAGAGAGAGTGGGTGGCCAAATTGAAACGATAAATGTGCGAAGCAAGCAAGTTGTGTACTTGTAAGTTGTAACGAAACTGTTTGTGAATAAAATATTTGTTTCCTTTTTCAAAATTTGGCGAGAATGGAATATAATTTTTTAACACGTTTTGCCTGGTGAGGTATTAATTAAGCTACATACAAGTCGGCTCTTAAAACTCTTCTTGTTGTGATTAGTTGAGAGTTGACATTTTAAATCGAACTAAACAATAATGATTGCTTGCAAGGATGATAGGACCTATACTGAAAAATTGCAGCGACTTGAAAAGCTGATTTTCAATGATTAATATATAGATTTTTGCAATAAAACAATTTTTTATAAATCTCAACCAATAAAAGTCCAACAAATACGATTAATGTTTCTTGAGAACCGAAAAAGTGTATCAAAAAACTAGAAATTTTATACTTGTGAAACAACAAATAATATTTAGAAAATTCATCTTAAAAAAACGGAGGGAGTATAAAATTCCGCATATATGTATTGTACAAAATTTAAATTGCATAAAACACTTACACTTTAAACCTCAAGAGTTTTTAACTAGTAGTTTAAACCTTAAATTTTAATACATCTAACCTTCAATCTAACACTTATGTTTGTACCGATAATTTTTTTGACGATATTTTCAACTTAGATAACAAGATAGTGTTCTCCGACAATAATATAAGGGTTCTTTAATCAAATCTGCTTGATTTTATGTTGAACCATCAAACTGAAAACTTAGTACATACAACAAGATGTATCATATAACATAAACAATAGATAAATGTGAAAACAAAGACAATTATGGTTGGTTGTCTCTTAAAACCAAACCAATGTACTATTGTCGAGAATAATAGTTCGGCATTAGAATTAAAAATATGGATAAAACAGTTATAGGTACAAATATAAGTGTCACATAAATGTTATTTGTGTTAAGGTTTTCAATTTGATGGTTTAAAGTGCTAGTTAAAAACTCTCAAAGTTTAAAGTGTAAGTGACTACCATTTTGAAAGTTTTCCCATCTACATGTGATGTGTGTAATTTTTTCAAAAAAAAAAGAAAAAGAAAAAAGAAAGAACAAATTTGTAATCTGAAGTCTTTTATGAATGTATGACTATTAACTGGCTGTTCTTGATATATAAAAACTAATAAAAACGAAGGATTATGTCAACGACAATGTATCCATATTTAAGTTTCACGAAAAAACAAGTCCAAGAACTAATGATCAGGTCAGGATATCCGTAAGATTTAATGCATTGTACCTTAACTGGAACTTAGGCACAAGAACATAATCTCCAAGCTGTTCTCTTTCTTTTTGTAATGAATCATGACTTTTCACTGAATAATTTTATTTGTTTGATGGTGATCTTAAGACAAGCAAACGAGTGTGAATCTCATCTTGTCGGGATCTCTAACTCTTTCGTCCCGTCCTTTGGTCTCTTACTCTCTCTCTCTCTCTCTCTTTCTATGCCCATATTCATCCAACCCGATTCTTGCCACATTTCAACAGTCCAGGCTGTTTAGTTTATATAAACCCTAATTTGCTTCTCATTTTGAGAGGATCCATTTAATTACTCGAGGCATCACACAGCTTAATTAAGATTTTGCCAATTTTGCATTTGGCTATCTACCAGATAAACTCTTTTTTTTTTTGTTATATTTATATTTACGGTCACACTTATCGATTCATAAGACCTTTGAATAAACATATATCTTATAAAATATATTAATTACAAAAGTAGTAAATATAACAAAGCTTAAATATGGAGATGTTATTTTCAATCTCAAATATATAGTTCGGCTCAATGTTTATTTTTTAAGTGAAGGGATGTAATCTCCGAACCCGTATGTAAGATCATCCAATTTCATTGACCATTTGTTTTCCCAAAACTTAGAAACATTGATATACAAACTAAGTTCATTGTCCTTTTTTGTTGTTGTTTAAGGGCCTAAAAGCAGGTTCATTGTCACAAGACATTTTAGACATATCGTGCATTGGAGGCGCCCCATATATATTCTTTCTTTACTCTCTTTGTGAGGCTATACATAAATCTGTTTAACATTTACTGAAGACTATGAAACCTTCTATATAAAATAACAACATAATGTACTCTTCATGCAATGGAGTGTCATGAATCTGTCTAAACTTGGCTTTCATCGACCCCACAAGTTGACTAATCGTATGGTAGGTTAAGAACATTAAGACTTGTTCAAGATACAATGGTTGAAGATTAAGAACTTCTGATTTTATAATCGATCAGCAAATATATATTATATCGTCCTCCAAGTTATTCTCTGGCACACTGCTCTATATAAATGTAGAGACGCACACATTAGGAAAATATAAAGAGAAAAAAAAAAGATAGAGAATCTGAGCGTTAGCTATGGAGAATCAAGCTTTCGTAGATGGTGAATTGGACTCTCTTTTGCGGATGTTTAACTTTGATAAATATTCATCTGACGAGTCAAGCTTTTACATTGATCAAGATCATCATCATCCTAATGAGATTGATGCTTTCTTCCCATTTGGAACAATTCTTGAAGAGACCTATACGGCCGCTCTCGACGCCAGTCACCAAACGAACCTCTATGTTGACTCAAGAGAAGTAAGTTCAAGTACAAAAATGTTAATTTTCCTAATTATTTATTTAACTGCATATCAATGAGCTAACGATTACGGTTAACGCATAGCAGGAGCTGGTGAAACCCAAGAAGAAGCAAAAGTTAAGCCCGGAAAGCAGTTTGGTCACCGATCCTAAGACTTCTTGGAGAGATGGTCAGAGCCTAAGCAATTCCAATAGTTCAGATGATGAGAAAGCTTTATGTTTAGAGACTACTACATCAAAAAGCCTTGAAGGCAAAGCAAATCGTAACAGAGGGAAAGCTACCGATCCTCAGAGTGTATACGCTCGGGTAATTCAAGAAAACTAAACAACTATTTTCATTGCTGATTTGAGTCATTAGGTTTTGTTGAACTAAAATGTTGAATAATGATGCAGAAACGAAGAGAAAGGATAAACGATAGGCTAAAAACATTGCAAAGCCTAGTTCCAAACGGGACAAAGGTCGATATAAGCACGATGCTTGAAGAAGCAGTCCATTACGTTAAGTTCATGCAGCTGCAAATTAAGGTAACAATTTTGGTCTTGTTCGATACTTGTCTTGCAAGAAACATGTAAAACTCTTTCATAAACTCTTGTTTATAACATTTCTTCTAATCAATTATTTTTGTTCCTTGGCAATGTAGCTCTTGAGTTCAGATGATCTATGGATGTATGCACCTCTTGCTCACAATGGTCTTAACATGGGAGGATTGCATCATAATCTTTTGTCTCGGCTTATGTGAAGACAAATAATCGGAATAACATAACTTAGTTGGTGTTGTTTTCAAGTTCATGAATCATGATTATGTATTTATGTTTTTTTTATTCGAGTTGTTCAATTATCTTTTCTTAGTTGACCCTCGTTTTGTAATTAAATGTTATATGCTAAAGTCCATTTGGACTAACTAGCATTTTAATTTTATTTTATATAAAGAACTACCAAGACATATTGGGGATTGTCAATATTATTATAAGAACTACCACTATTATTTTCGATCTCAATTTCAGTACCATATTTGAAGGCAATGTTTTGGTTTTGAACGTCGGAGGATTCCACTTTAATAAAATTTCTAATTAGACGACCCATCATCTTTATTTATTTCAATCAGATTTTTTTTACCGTTCAAACTCTTTATCGTTTACAAACAGAAATATTGGGAATTGACGGAAAATCAAACTGATACAAAACCCAAACAAGCCCTAAAGAAGACGCAAGCACCGGTAAAGGTCCAAACATCCAAAGCAAAAGCGGCAAAGAAACGCACATAACTCTGTTCCCAACCATAGCCATAAAAAACCCTCTCTCCAACACCAATCTTGTATACTCCCTAAACGACTCAGTCCCCGTCGTCAATTCGTAACCGCAGCCGCAGTCTCCTTCATGCTTCTTACCAATCGCGTTAATGAGGAAATTGGCATCCATCAAGTAAGTCACGGCAAGTGAGCTAAAGAAGAAGCTCACTGCAAGAAGCAACGACGAAGAGGCATATTTTAAGACGTATGTTGTAGGGTGTTTCGAGCCGAAGAAGATGTTATCGGCGGTTGTGATGAGGTGACTCGCTTCGAACGCGTTGTTGGTAACCGCAGCTAGAGAGAGCAAGATAAGGATGGAGACTGTAGCGGTGAGTATCGTCACCATTTTCTTGTTCCTCAAGCTTTGTACTGCCAACATCCCAGTCTTATCGTCACCCTGCGTTTCATTACGATACAATAAATCAAGAACAACTTATTTATTAACATAAAAACTACAGTTTCATGTAAACTGTTTTTTTTGTTTTTCATAAAATATTTTTGTTAGGTATAAAGACGAGAACCTCTTTGATTTCACGAAACCAAGATTTGCGTCTGGAGGAGTCGATGCCAAGAGAAGTACGAGAAGGGTTGTGCTTGAAGGTGTTCCAGAGGAAAACATGGTATCCCACTGCTATGAATACACTCAATGGCACTAACACACTGTCTGTGTCCACCTTCATTCTCATTTTCTCCCTTTTTTTGTTTCAATTTGGACTTATACTGATTTTAGTTATAATTCGCATTAACAAAGGGATATGTATATATAAAGTTTTAAAAAGTTAGTGGACAAATGGGATTCATAGTCAGATATCAAACAAATATATATAGTGGACATCTCTTTATGTATTGCCGGTGTAATTTGGACGTATACGTAACGTAACTTATTCTAATACACATCTCAACATCTGACTATATATACACTCACTTTAGACATTAACAACTATTTTAAAACACTATCTGCTGGAAATAAAAAGATGATTTATTAGGAGAAAAGGGCTGAATCATGTTTGCATACTTGCATATGAATATCGAAGCATACGTGATTGCTTCTGAGGAGCTCATTGTGAGCTTCCTAATAGTGTTCTCATACTGAGGTAAATTTAAAGAGTGGTTAAGGTCATCTTGTTCCTTAAAAAAGAAAAACAAATACTCAATGTTTTTTTTTGTCCTTTTTAGGTTTAATTTAGTTTATTTGTGATTAATTGGCGTGGATTCGTTCTGGTTTGGTTTAGAGTTTTGATTTTGATCTGAATTTATTTGCATTGATAATTTTGTTGTATCTATGTGGGTTTGTAATGGAATGAATTATTTAGCAGCTGTCATATTCGGCCATTTTCTTAAGTGTTTGAATGACTTTTAAAAAGATCATATTTTATTGGACTAACATTTGAAAGTGGTCAACATAACTAAAACATAACATATTTTAGTGAAATAAAGGCTGCTTTTGGTAGATTGTGTTCCAAAATTGGAGTTTGTTTGGATGAAATATGTTTTGTCCAAAGTTTGTTGCTAGAAATGCACAAAATGGACTAGTAAAAATTGTGGAGAAGTCCATACAAAGTGAAAAACCATAGGATGTTTGGAGAGAAGAGTGAACCACACTAAACCACATGCTCGCACCAAGATGAGCCAGGAGTGACTTTAGCTCCGGTTTGGGTTTAGATGTGGGTTTGGGGGTAAATGGACCTTAGTCTAATAACCCCTCTTTTGTATCAAGTTTTTATTTGTGTAATTGAGCATTACATAGGTATACATTTGATAACATTTTCTAATGTTACTATAGCTATCTTCCCTAAAATATATTATCACCATTTGTCTGCACCTCATATTCAGAAATTCAACTGAGATTGAAAAGGAACTCTTTTTTTTCCTTCGTTACCACAGTTTTGTTCTTGTATCATTTCGACAGATTTATTTCCGCATATTTTTTGTCATGTTGCTATTTATCTTTCATTAGATCAAAGCATTTAGAACATATATGGTGAAACAGTAAAATTTACATTGCACCAAAAACAATTCACATTTTGATAGAAAGAAGAAACTCTAAAACAAATTAGGTGGTCTGAGAGATAGGATGGATGCTGGGAGAGTTTTCTCCACGACGACAATTTCGACAACGTTTGCAAATTCCTACGACAGCAACGATAAAGAAAAAGAAAAGCATCATCAAAGGAACCATCCATGGCTTAAACCATGGAGGATCTTTTGGGAAGATCACTGCAGCTTCTTCTCCATTATCTGGATACCTCATCGTCAAAAATTTTGATGTGTCTTTATAATATTGTCATTCGTGAACAACCACCATAATTTTCTTCTCAACCCCTAAGGTTTTCCTTATGGGAGATGAGAAGAAAATCCAACGAAAGGTTTCTTGCTCTCAAAACATTTGTTTTATGATATATCTTCTGTTTTGTTTAAATGATTATTTTTAGTGTTTTTGCTATATTTTCTTTAGATTTTGTGGACATCTTTAGCTATTTTTGGACACTCTGGAAACTTGATCATGATCATGGGTGTGAGTCACAAAATAGAAATTTCCAATCAATAGGTTCTTGTTATGTGTTATCATCATCTCTCTTGATCTTTTTTGCCATGAAGTCATTTATTTCCAAATTTTCCATGAACTTCTTTTAATATTTCCAGAGCCGTCCCTGGGAGCAAGCAGGGCTTGCGGCCCGGTTGAGAATAAGTAAAATATTGGCGGCATTTTTTACAAAACCGAACCAAATCTGAACCTAAATCTAATTATTTAAAACCCACCAGAATCCAGAAACTTAAAGATGTTATACTTGTTTAGGCTCATTTTTCCGATGATGATGATTGATGAAAACGAAAATTGGGAGACTAAATCCTTTTATTTCACATGACAAAAAATAATTGAAACACAAACAATAACAAATACTGTGACAACAACAAAAAATGAAGACAAATATAAACTAAACTGAAGCAGACAAGCTCGGGAGGAAAGAGAACCAACGAAACCCACAGCTCCATTTCTCCGGCAACGAAGGACATTTTGGAACCCAATGCCATGTTCTTCTCCCAACATGAAAGAACAAAATCTCAGGCCAATTATAGCAACAAACACAAATCATCTCCTTATGCCAAAGACAATACACATGCTCGTAATTGTGGTAACACACCGAAGTAAACTTCCGACAAACAATCTCCGGAAGTGTTTCAGTTTCGATCCAGTTCGCTGTTTCCTCTCTAAATTCCCAAATCTTGATACTCCTACAAATCCCATTGCTCCCAATTCCTCCCACCATGTAAAGTATCTTCCTTTCGTGATCAGTCACTAACCTAGCAAACGTGATCTCATCGCCCGCCGGAAACACTCCGTCTCCGGTGGCTGCTGTGGTCCATTTCCCGTTTCCGAGATCGACGCTCACGAGCAGGAAAGGCTCGCATCTAGCGAAATAGAGAGACCCATTGTAAAAGACTCCGTCTTGGTTAAACCCACGAGGCAAGACTTGATCAACGCCGCCGAATTTTCTCCACGTTCGTTCGCCGGAGTCGTAGAGGCAAACGGATCTAGAATCGGCGGAGGAAGAGGAGGAGCAGAGTGTGAAGATCTTGTAACCGTCGGAGGAAGCGACGAGGGAGAGAAGCTCGTAAGGGAAAGGGTAAAAAGGGAATTTTACAGATCTGGAGGATCTTGTTAAGGGGTTGAGGATTGAGAGAGAGGAAGCGGAGGAGGAGAAGAGGGAGAAACAGAGGAGGCCGTGAGAGGAAGAGAGGAGGGAGGAGGAGGCGCAGGATACGGAGAGGCAGCGAGGGAGTGGTAACGTGCGCCACGAGTGGAGATTGAAGTCGAAGAGAGGGAAAGAGTGGTGAGACTGAGGGTGAGAGAGGAGGATGAAAGAAGGGAGGGAGAGAGAGTGGTCGGAGAGGTAAGTCGGAGAGAGGATGAGAGATCGGAGGTGCTTTGAGATTGATCGGAGAGCGACGAGGTTTTTGAAAGGGAGGAAAGAGAGGATGTGGTCGAGGAGGTGGTTTGGTAAACCGGACCAGATGATTGGATCCATTTCGACCGGGGAAGAGAAGGCGGTGGGGGAAGATTCCGGTGACCAGTAGAGGAAAGAGGATGCGGAGGTCAGAGAGGTGGTGGTGGTGGTGGTGATGGTGATGGGTTTCTTGCCGTGAGCTCTGAGACGGAACATGGTGCGACTGCGAGATTAGTCGGAGAGACGAAAATGGATTTTGGATTAGAGTGGTTTGCGTTTACTTCAAGAAGACTCGAAAAGAGAAGAAACGCGTATAAATATTAATCTCCGTTTGCGGTTTAGACCGTTGACATTAGACGTTGAAAATTTCGAATCGCATTTAATGCATAATCAATTCACTTCATTTTTTTTTTCTCTGAATCATATCGAAAAAACCCACCATATATTGCAAAAATAAAACGGAATCTAATTGAGTTTTCTAACTCGGTTATGCATTCCTCAAAAGCTGAATCAAGCAAAACAGAAAAACCGATTGCCAATGCTTGCTTGGTTAACGTATGCACATGTATAAACTATACAATAAAATCCTGCTCTAATAAATAAATTGGTATATAACCATACCTAAACTCTAGTTTGATAATGAGTATAGTCTTATCCAAAACCAAACAAGAATCAGAATCCAAAACTGCATGCAACCATACCTAAACTCTTGTTTGATAATGATTACGCATTGTTTAAAATGAAATAAAACAAACTGAAAACTCCAATGACGATGTCTAAAGTCTAAGTCACATATTTGACGGTACAACTACCCATAAAACGACTCGAGGAGAATAGTCAGACCTCTTGGCATATACTCCCTCCGTTTCAAATTAGTTGTCGTTTTGGTAAAATGTATCTGCAAATATTTGGACGTATCTGGACGTGTTTTACATTGCAGATACATCCAAATAATTGCAGATACATTTTCCCAAAACGACAACTAATTTGAAACGGAGGGAGTATCAAACAGCTCAAAGTATAATAAACAAAAGTTATCAAAGTCAGAACGTCGTAATTAGACCACCACCTAATTTATTATTATTGAGAAATAGGCAAAAGTTGGTTAGAAAGATCTATCTTCGGACCACTTTTAGACTTTAAAATTGGTCCTTACAAAAGTAGTATTTCAATTGGGAGTGCGACAGTGACTGATAATGAAGGACTTACTAGGACTGGTGCGGTGAAGTCTTACCACTCGTTAACTTGGCCATGCATAGCTCTACGTCGTCTACTCTCGTTTTGGTACCAACCCTTACAAAATATTCTATACACTTTAGGCGCTGAAAGAGAAGAATGGTGAATATTTGCATGACCACAAGATTTTTCTTCAAGTGGCTAAGACAGCTCCATACCCTCCACGTCCCAAGTAAATTGATTTTCGAGATTCTGGCTGTTACTTATTATTGCTAGAGTTTCGATACCGTTACAAAAGAGTAACGCTATTATTTTTTGGTAATTAGGTACAACCTTGCAGAGAAGCTTTGGTAAGGGATTTAAACTATTTGCATTTTGAGTTTTGCTATCGGCTCAAGTTTTTTTTGGTATACATGGAGTGATGATCACTCTAGGGTTTTTGATATTTCAGTTACGAAGACTACCTTCGACGACAAAACCTTGTGCTAGAAGAAGATGAGACAGTTGAAACTCCCAATTTTGTTGAGGTACCTGTTCTGTTCTTATTATCTTCAATATATGTTCGGCTTAGACATTTAATAACCACAAAGTCGAAAGTTGTCTTCTTCTGCCTTTTGTTAAATTCAGGCAGTTGCTGTAAGAAAGAAGACGCTCTTTGTTTCCGGTCTCTCTCACGATGCTGAAATATCAGATATGCAAGTAGCACCTTTTTTTTCTTTTATTCTTTCGTTATTGGAGAAAGTTTTTTCATGACTAATATTTTATCCTCCATTTTTACAGCATCAATTTCTTCAAAGATGTTGGACAAGTTTTTTGTCTTCGACTTATTGTAGACGACACGGGCAAGCATATAGGCGATGGCTTTGTTGAGTTTTCTTCTGCTAACGAAGCAGAGAAGGTGAAAGAGTCATCTGAAAAGTAGTGTATACATGTGATGCAAGTATTCATTTTGAGAGTAGGATTGCTGATTAAATCTTTTATACTGTAGGCACTGGAAAAGAAGAATGGTGAATATTTGCATGACCACAAGATTTATCTTCAAGCGGCTAAAAAGGCTCTCCATACCCTCCACAACCCAAGTAAATTGAATTTCTGTAGCACTGGTTGTAACTTAATGCTACAGTTGTTTTGATGCTATTACACAAGGAGGCTAACACTAATTATTTTTGGTAATTAGGTATTGCATAGATCACAAGGTTTGGTAAGGATTTTAACTGTTTGCATCTTCAGTTTGTTGTTATCAAGAGCACATTGGGTGAAGTTTTTGGTAACATATTTTCTGATATTCCAGGTATGAAGACTACCTTCGACAAGAAAACCTTCTGATAGAGGAAAATGAGGCAGTGGAAGGACATGATGATATTCTCGAGTATATTGAGGTACATATATGTTCTTATTGCAGTAGAAACTCTATAAATTAATAATGTTGGGACCATGATATTTTATTAATTTAGCGAATTATCAATTTATCGAGAAATAATTTGGATCAAAAACTTAATTTGGGATCGGAAAACTATACTAATAGTTGGAGTTATTAATTTATCGAGTATTAATTTATAGATTAGAAGAAATGCTTAGCGTTGTTTAATAACACAACTGTTGCCACAAAAGTTGAAAGATGATTTAATCCAGGGGGTATGCAAATTATTTTCAGGAAGTTGCTGCGAGAAGAAAGACCCTTTTTATCGCCAATATCCCTTGCGAAACTAGTATACCAAGGATGTGAGTAACTAACACCTGTAATTTCCTCTTTGCTTCTTTTTTCATGACTCATATATTTTATTATCCATTTGTACAGCGTCCATTGCTTCAAATATGTTGGACGAGTTGTTCTTCTTCGACTTATTGTAGACCACAGGGGTCAGCATGTTGGCTGTGGCTTTGTTGAGTTTGGTTATGCTTACGAAGCAGACAAGGTGAGACTAGTTTATACTAGTAATGATGAAAAATATACATTTTGAAAGTAGGATTGCTGACTAAATCTTTTATGCTGTAGGCGCTGGAAGAAGGGAGTAATCGTGAGTTTAGTCTAGACGTGGCTGAGATAGCTCCGTACCCTCTCCGACCCAAGTAAACTGATTTTCCCATATGAAGATTTGTTTCTTAACTTGTTGCTATAGTTTTCATGTCATTAACGCCTTTTTTTTGGGTTTGTTAATTAGGTACAACCTTGCTGAGAAACTTTGGTAAGGATTTAAGTATATATAGTTGCCTTCTGAGTTTTGTTATCAAGGTCGAAGGCGACATGACAAGGGTCTTTGATGTTCCAGGTCCAAGGTAAAAAGCCTTCTGGTAGAAGAGGAAGAAGAAGAAGAAGAAGAGGAGGAAGAAGAAGTGGAAGATTATGATTTGGAGGGCGGAGTCTGCTGTAAGAAGGTTACTTTCTGTTACGACGACTGATAGAAGAAGAAGGATCTGTTACCGTTTTTCTTATGTTTTAGTTAAGTTTTTGTCTGAACGTACATAAAAATATGCTTAAATATGAGAATGGTCTTGGTGTTAAATCATTTATCTGCCTTAACTATTACCTGAGTAAGAGCGCTGGAAAGCTGCTACGTTACATGTCTTTCAGGTTTTAAACACTAAAACGTACGTGACTTCTTCATTAGACTACAATTCTTCTTTTATAAATTATGCATGTGCTAGAATTTCTCAGTGGTCTCACTTGCTTAATCACTTACTCTCACTCACCTGGCAACCCAACAGCATTGACGTTCCCTTACGAAGAACAAATTCTGTTGTTCCGTTTACATCTCAAAAGTCTGTTCCGATTTTATATCCACATATGTATATTTTCTTTTCTTTTTTCTTATTACGGAAAAGGAAAAAATGAGATTTCTTGTTTTAGTTATTTCGAAGTTTTAAAATTTAAATATGAATTGCTGAAAATTTTATTTCGTTAAATTTAGGGTGAATGTATCGCTGCAAAATCTTATATATAATAGGAGAGTTGCTCTCTCCATCTAGTGTCCACATCAGCACAAAAACATTAAATTGTATTTAAATATTTATTAAATATATGACTATTCATATTTCTTTACATTTATTCATATTTAATAAAAATACACAAATAAATATAATTAATGAAAGAATGTATGTGATAATTTGATGTTAAAAGTTATCAAAAAGTTGGAATATAAAATAGAGATGGAGTAAAGAAATATTTAACTTCAAATAGTATATATTTACTTTTTATTCAAAGGATTTATCCTATTTAAAAATGTTATAATGTGTTTACAAGTTAAAAAGTTGAATATAAATTAATTAAGATAATAGAAAGCTAATGAAAAATTAGAGTTAGAGTTTGTTTTTCTAAACAAATAGAAATGGAGTTTTATATGTAAATTTAATTGTAGTGAAAAACAAGAATATGTTTACAAATTTTAACCTTCAGTCAAATGCATATACATATTTATAAATTTTAACCTTCAATCAAATACATATACATGTTTACAGTCTAATAGAAGTAAACATAATATTATAACATNTTATGTATTGCCGGTGTAATTTGGACGTATACGTAACGTAACTTATTCTAATACACATCTCAACATCTGACTATATATACACTCACTTTAGACATTAACAACTATTTTAAAACACTATCTGCTGGAAATAAAAAGATGATTTATTAGGAGAAAAGGGCTGAATCATGTTTGCATACTTGCATATGAATATCGAAGCATACGTGATTGCTTCTGAGGAGCTCATTGTGAGCTTCCTAATAGTGTTCTCATACTGAGGTAAATTTAAAGAGTGGTTAAGGTCATCTTGTTCCTTAAAAAAGAAAAACAAATACTCAATGTTTTTTTTTGTCCTTTTTAGGTTTAATTTAGTTTATTTGTGATTAATTGGCGTGGATTCGTTCTGGTTTGGTTTAGAGTTTTGATTTTGATCTGAATTTATTTGCATTGATAATTTTGTTGTATCTATGTGGGTTTGTAATGGAATGAATTATTTAGCAGCTGTCATATTCGGCCATTTTCTTAAGTGTTTGAATGACTTTTAAAAAGATCATATTTTATTGGACTAACATTTGAAAGTGGTCAACATAACTAAAACATAACATATTTTAGTGAAATAAAGGCTGCTTTTGGTAGATTGTGTTCCAAAATTGGAGTTTGTTTGGATGAAATATGTTTTGTCCAAAGTTTGTTGCTAGAAATGCACAAAATGGACTAGTAAAAATTGTGGAGAAGTCCATACAAAGTGAAAAACCATAGGATGTTTGGAGAGAAGAGTGAACCACACTAAACCACATGCTCGCACCAAGATGAGCCAGGAGTGACTTTAGCTCCGGTTTGGGTTTAGATGTGGGTTTGGGGGTAAATGGACCTTAGTCTAATAACCCCTCTTTTGTATCAAGTTTTTATTTGTGTAATTGAGCATTACATAGGTATACATTTGATAACATTTTCTAATGTTACTATAGCTATCTTCCCTAAAATATATTATCACCATTTGTCTGCACCTCATATTCAGAAATTCAACTGAGATTGAAAAGGAACTCTTTTTTTTCCTTCGTTACCACAGTTTTGTTCTTGTATCATTTCGACAGATTTATTTCCGCATATTTTTTGTCATGTTGCTATTTATCTTTCATTAGATCAAAGCATTTAGAACATATATGGTGAAACAGTAAAATTTACATTGCACCAAAAACAATTCACATTTTGATAGAAAGAAGAAACTCTAAAACAAATTAGGTGGTCTGAGAGATAGGATGGATGCTGGGAGAGTTTTCTCCACGACGACAATTTCGACAACGTTTGCAAATTCCTACGACAGCAACGATAAAGAAAAAGAAAAGCATCATCAAAGGAACCATCCATGGCTTAAACCATGGAGGATCTTTTGGGAAGATCACTGCAGCTTCTTCTCCATTATCTGGATACCTCATCGTCAAAAATTTTGATGTGTCTTTATAATATTGTCATTCGTGAACAACCACCATAATTTTCTTCTCAACCCCTAAGGTTTTCCTTATGGGAGATGAGAAGAAAATCCAACGAAAGGTTTCTTGCTCTCAAAACATTTGTTTTATGATATATCTTCTGTTTTGTTTAAATGATTATTTTTAGTGTTTTTGCTATATTTTCTTTAGATTTTGTGGACATCTTTAGCTATTTTTGGACACTCTGGAAACTTGATCATGATCATGGGTGTGAGTCACAAAATAGAAATTTCCAATCAATAGGTTCTTGTTATGTGTTATCATCATCTCTCTTGATCTTTTTTGCCATGAAGTCATTTATTTCCAAATTTTCCATGAACTTCTTTTAATATTTCCAGAGCCGTCCCTGGGAGCAAGCAGGGCTTGCGGCCCGGTTGAGAATAAGTAAAATATTGGCGGCATTTTTTACAAAACCGAACCAAATCTGAACCTAAATCTAATTATTTAAAACCCACCAGAATCCAGAAACTTAAAGATGTTATACTTGTTTAGGCTCATTTTTCCGATGATGATGATTGATGAAAACGAAAATTGGGAGACTAAATCCTTTTATTTCACATGACAAAAAATAATTGAAACACAAACAATAACAAATACTGTGACAACAACAAAAAATGAAGACAAATATAAACTAAACTGAAGCAGACAAGCTCGGGAGGAAAGAGAACCAACGAAACCCACAGCTCCATTTCTCCGGCAACGAAGGACATTTTGGAACCCAATGCCATGTTCTTCTCCCAACATGAAAGAACAAAATCTCAGGCCAATTATAGCAACAAACACAAATCATCTCCTTATGCCAAAGACAATACACATGCTCGTAATTGTGGTAACACACCGAAGTAAACTTCCGACAAACAATCTCCGGAAGTGTTTCAGTTTCGATCCAGTTCGCTGTTTCCTCTCTAAATTCCCAAATCTTGATACTCCTACAAATCCCATTGCTCCCAATTCCTCCCACCATGTAAAGTATCTTCCTTTCGTGATCAGTCACTAACCTAGCAAACGTGATCTCATCGCCCGCCGGAAACACTCCGTCTCCGGTGGCTGCTGTGGTCCATTTCCCGTTTCCGAGATCGACGCTCACGAGCAGGAAAGGCTCGCATCTAGCGAAATAGAGAGACCCATTGTAAAAGACTCCGTCTTGGTTAAACCCACGAGGCAAGACTTGATCAACGCCGCCGAATTTTCTCCACGTTCGTTCGCCGGAGTCGTAGAGGCAAACGGATCTAGAATCGGCGGAGGAAGAGGAGGAGCAGAGTGTGAAGATCTTGTAACCGTCGGAGGAAGCGACGAGGGAGAGAAGCTCGTAAGGGAAAGGGTAAAAAGGGAATTTTACAGATCTGGAGGATCTTGTTAAGGGGTTGAGGATTGAGAGAGAGGAAGCGGAGGAGGAGAAGAGGGAGAAACAGAGGAGGCCGTGAGAGGAAGAGAGGAGGGAGGAGGAGGCGCAGGATACGGAGAGGCAGCGAGGGAGTGGTAACGTGCGCCACGAGTGGAGATTGAAGTCGAAGAGAGGGAAAGAGTGGTGAGACTGAGGGTGAGAGAGGAGGATGAAAGAAGGGAGGGAGAGAGAGTGGTCGGAGAGGTAAGTCGGAGAGAGGATGAGAGATCGGAGGTGCTTTGAGATTGATCGGAGAGCGACGAGGTTTTTGAAAGGGAGGAAAGAGAGGATGTGGTCGAGGAGGTGGTTTGGTAAACCGGACCAGATGATTGGATCCATTTCGACCGGGGAAGAGAAGGCGGTGGGGGAAGATTCCGGTGACCAGTAGAGGAAAGAGGATGCGGAGGTCAGAGAGGTGGTGGTGGTGGTGGTGATGGTGATGGGTTTCTTGCCGTGAGCTCTGAGACGGAACATGGTGCGACTGCGAGATTAGTCGGAGAGACGAAAATGGATTTTGGATTAGAGTGGTTTGCGTTTACTTCAAGAAGACTCGAAAAGAGAAGAAACGCGTATAAATATTAATCTCCGTTTGCGGTTTAGACCGTTGACATTAGACGTTGAAAATTTCGAATCGCATTTAATGCATAATCAATTCACTTCATTTTTTTTTTCTCTGAATCATATCGAAAAAACCCACCATATATTGCAAAAATAAAACGGAATCTAATTGAGTTTTCTAACTCGGTTATGCATTCCTCAAAAGCTGAATCAAGCAAAACAGAAAAACCGATTGCCAATGCTTGCTTGGTTAACGTATGCACATGTATAAACTATACAATAAAATCCTGCTCTAATAAATAAATTGGTATATAACCATACCTAAACTCTAGTTTGATAATGAGTATAGTCTTATCCAAAACCAAACAAGAATCAGAATCCAAAACTGCATGCAACCATACCTAAACTCTTGTTTGATAATGATTACGCATTGTTTAAAATGAAATAAAACAAACTGAAAACTCCAATGACGATGTCTAAAGTCTAAGTCACATATTTGACGGTACAACTACCCATAAAACGACTCGAGGAGAATAGTCAGACCTCTTGGCATATACTCCCTCCGTTTCAAATTAGTTGTCGTTTTGGTAAAATGTATCTGCAAATATTTGGACGTATCTGGACGTGTTTTGCATTGCAGATACATCCAAATAATTGCAGATACATTTTCCCAAAACGACAACTAATTTGAAACGGAGGGAGTATCAAACAGCTCAAAGTATAATAAACAAAAGTTATCAAAGTCAGAACGTCGTAATTAGACCACCACCTAATTTATTATTATTGAGAAATAGGCAAAAGTTGGTTAGAAAGATCTATCTTCGGACCACTTTTAGACTTTAAAATTGGTCCTTACAAAAGTAGTATTTCAATTGGGAGTGCGACAGTGACTGATAATGAAGGACTTACTAGGACTGGTGCGGTGAAGTCTTACCACTCGTTAACTTGGCCATGCATAGCTCTACGTCGTCTACTCTCGTTTTGGTACCAACCCTTACAATGAGAACCCATGTAGCTGCTGCGATCTACCTATGTGTGTCCCCACTCATGGAAACGCAGAAGAAAATTAGAAAAGGTTACTCGGATTTTTCGAAACAAGTATTTCATTTCTATTGTAGGATTTGAGATCCAATCTAGAGCCTTAACTTCTGTTTAAGATCATTCCACACTCAACAAGCAATAACATGGATGATGCATTATTTATAAGTATAGTAGTTTAGCATACATCTCAATATCTCATAACTAAATACATTGTGTTACAATGTACATAAGATAATTCACAAGCACAGTAATATATAGCGCATTTTTCAAACTGACTGTAAGCAAAGCATTCAACAGTCAATAAACATTCACACGCAAGACAGATAGTCATGATTAGCAGATTAGGTTATCAAACAGACTCCTTACACCATTATCAACATGACTCCACTAGTCACCAATCCTCGTGATTTAGCACATGTTTTTTCCTAACTCTTAAGCGACCTGACGGTCTTCGTAGCCACAAACTGACAAAGGTTACATGTATACCAATCCATTTCAGTTACATGACAAAAATATTCGGAGTAAACAAAACATATATATATTTTTTAAAATCAAATTGTATTACTTTAAAGTAATTTAAAAATATATAAGAAAAATATCATCACAGCAACTAATAACTAAGTGAATTGATGAATGTTAATCATAAAATATAATCATTTTCAATATATTATGCGCAAAAGGTAGATGTGAAGCTTTATATAACATAAACAATTTATAATTTTACTTGATTTCCATAAATGTAAACATTATCTAACAAAAAAGAAGAGCGAAAAACATGGTTATTCTTCATTTTGAAACTTTAAAATTAAATATAAACGTGAGTTACACTTTATGTTTCAAAAATGAAATGTGAATTCTGCTTTAATATAAAATGGTGCTGGTTTTTGAAATTTATGAAGATTCAGACATTCAGTGATTCGTAAAGAGTTTCCCAAAAATTTGAAAATATGGGTTAAATATTAAACCAAATCTACCAATATTAAACCACATCTAAACTTATTGGACACAATCCACCGAGGCGTGGAGGAGGTCACAGAGGGTGAAAAAACAAATGTTTTCTTATCGTTAAGTAAAAAAACAACATTATGTTTTGGGATATTTATATTTTCAATTTTACTCATTCTCTCAGTACTTTCATCTCCATATACTGAACAATAAAATCATCGAAAAATAAACTGCTTGATAGCAGCTCCTAGCTTTCTTGTGGCTATAATTGAACGATGAAGATGGCGAGAGCGGAGAGATGATGAGGTTGATATCTAGGACGTTCCCGTCCGTGAAGCTTCGCAATCACAACCTTACCCCAAAATCTCCAGAATTGAAAAGTTTGCCAACCCAAGTTCCGATTTCATCTTCTTCTTCGCAAGAAAACTCGAAGATCCCTAAACCCAAATCCTGGTCCGTTTATCTCCTTCTCTCTACAAACGAACCTATCAAAACATACGTCGGCATCACCACCGATTTTACCCGCCGGTTCGTCAATCTTCTCTTCTCCGTTTTTCACACTGTTTTGAAATTGAATTGATTTTGGGGCAATTCACCATGAAAGATTAGATTTTTGATTGATTCCCATTTGTAAAGCATGTGTTTTTATTTTCATTTCACAAATTTCAAAGAAAGTTTGGGGCTTTTTATAAAAGCAAAGTGCTTTTGTTGTTGTTGTTGTTGCAGATTAAGGCAGCACAATGGTGAGATTAACGGAGGAGCAAAAGCTTCAAGTGCAGGAAGACCATGGTTGAAACCGATTGGAAAATTGTGACCAGGTAACAGACGATTTAACTTATTGAATCACCGATGTTCTGTGCAGCGACTTTGTATGAGCTAGCTTTCGGATTTACTTGTTGTATGGCAATTCTTTGAAAACTACATTGCATAGTTCAAATGTGATGATGCACAAAAGTTTAAGCAAATGCACTCAAAATTGGTTGATTCATGTTTGTCTTCAGTTTATATAGAGACATACATCTTTAAGAGTTAAAGATTGAGAACTGTAAATTGGTGGTTATGCTAAGCTATTGTGAAAGCAGTTAGTGTTCAACATCCAACCAAATTGTGCTTGATCAGATCTTGAAGGACTAGTTTTCATGTACCGGTCCATGTCATCGCTCGTAGTTCCTCACCACTTTTGCATCTTTCAGGGTTTTGGTTATGTGTTTGTGGTTCGGTTTTTAAAATATGATGACAAAGGTTATGATGGTAAGATTGCAATATTTAAGATTGGGTTCGAAGATTCGGTAGAATGAGAAATGTTTTATTTATAATAGCCCAAGGTTTATGAGAGAGCATTAATATGATCATTGCTTGTATATACTAAAGAAGAAAAATAAAAAATGGTGCAACCCACGTCCGCTTTTGAGGCCGGTGGTTTTGTTTATTACTCGTCTCAAAACATGAACTCCATTATAGCCCAAAATCGAAACCACCCTCTTTAAATAAAACCATAAATCAACAACAATCACTTTTGTTCCTACATCAAGAAAATCGAAGAAAAAAAAACAAGAAATGGTGTTAGGTCTTAGAACAAAGAGCCGCAGAGACAACGGAGTGTTCGTTGAGTATTTAGTCTCAATCAAGGAGCTAAAGCCATGGCCAACGAGCCAAGTCCCTGCACAATGCGTCCTTCTCAAATGGGAACACGGAGAGAACAGCTCAGGCTCGTTCATCGCGGTCGTGGGCAAAGACACGATCATGTTCAACGAGTCCTTTAGGCTAACACTAACGTTAGAGCCCAAAGGCGGTGGTGCAGAGAACAAGTTCCAGAAGAATCTTCTTGAACTTAATGTCTACGACGCCAAGAAGAAAGATAAAGGTGTCAAGAACAAGTTTCTTGGCTCGGCCGTGGTCAATCTTGCGGATTACGGCGTGTTGACCAACTCTGTCCCCGTTGGAGCTCCGTTTACTTTCAAGAAGAGCTCGAGGAACGATGCGAACGCTGAGATTTATCTAACGATTGAGCCGGCCGGAGAGGATGAGGATGAAGGTTATCGGAGTAGCTGTTCGTCGCAGCCGAAGATGAGAGGTTCGGTGGATAGAGATGGTAGTGAGTTTAGTTTGGCGTCGTTGACGGACGACGATGATGATGCTTCTTCGGTGTCGTCTTCTACACGACGGGTTTCTTTCTCAGCTATGTGTGATGCTAATCCTATGGTACGCATTTCATAATTTTTCTTTTTTTTTTTTCTTTTTTAATATAATCTTTTGATTAGTGATGTTTTGTGTTCGAAATTGGATACATGAGGTACGCACGTCTATGCCTAAGTTTTTTGTGTGACTATTAGTGGTTAAGAAAATTATATTTTTTCTTTTTCTTTTAAAGTGAAACATATTTTTTCTTTAGGATTAATGTAAAGTTAAACATACTGTATGTTTAACCAATGATTTTCTGCGAATTGTTTTTAGTTTTAATAGTAAATATAAATCACTAGTGTTAGAAATATTTCAGCCTATCAAAATTTGGATTCTTAAAAACAAAATTGGTAACAAAATTCCAAAAGTTGAGTTTCATTTGTGTTCTTGAACAAGCAAAGACTAAATATCTCAAACCGTTGAATCAAAACAGAACACTGAGGCGGAGAAGAATGGAGAAGAGAAGAAAGGTTGGAAACATGTAACGCTTAAGCACAGCAATAACGAAGCAGCACTCGTCTCCGAGATAGAGAATCTACTAAGAGAAGAAGAAAGAAAAAGACAGAGCAATCAACCAGTGGTTATAACCTCAGAGACTGAACCAAAACACAAGAATAATACAAATCCCTTTCTCAAGAAACAGTTCTCTGAGATCAGTTCCGTTCCTTCTCCGTTACCTCCGGACGCAGCAAGAAAACAGATGAAACTTCGCACAAACACTCTTGCCTTAGGAAGAAAGACTCTAGGCATGGAAGGCATTCCAAGACTCAAACAACTCAAGTCTATTCAGTTGCATTTTGACGGAACCGGAACCAATAAGAGCGCTGATGATAGTCGGAAAAATGCGAATGGAGTGAGCAACAAGTTAGGTTTAATAACTCCGCAAGAGCCTAGAACAGAGATGCTTGAAGATGAGCTTAAGGAAGCAGCGGCTCTTGAAGCAGCTGTTTACTCTGTGGTCGCTGAGCATAGTAGCTCAATGAGCAAAGTTCATGCTCCTGCTCGCCGTCTCTCTAGGTTTTATATTCATGCTTGTAAAGGAAATGATCACTCCAAGAGAGCTTCCGCGGCTAGAGCCGCGGTTTCTGGATTGATCTTGGTGTCCAAAGCTTGTGGAAATGATGTTCCAAGGTATATATAACCATATCAACATCCTTATACTTTGATGGTTTCGTGTTAGCATATGATTCTAACATTGTTTGTTTCTGCAGGTTAACATTTTGGCTATCAAATTCGATTGTGCTTAGAGCAATCTTAAGCCGCGGTATGGAGAATGTGAGCCTTGTCTCTAGTAAAGCCGGTTCAGATGAATGGGAAGATCCTCGAGCATTTCTTGCAGCTTTAGAGAAGTTTGAGTCTTGGATCTTCTCAAGAGTTGTTAAATCAGTTTGGTGGCAGGTAAATCGAAAAAGAACAAATTTTTGCAAATGGGTTTTGTAATCATCAAAACGTTGATGCGGAAAATGGAATTTCATTGCAGAGTATGACACCGTATATGCAATCAGCAGCGGTTAAAGGATCGATATCGAGGAAGATTTCGGGGAAAAGACGGTTAGGTCACAAGAACCAGGGGCTTTACGCTATAGAGCTATGGAAGAATGCATTTAGAGCTGCCTGTGAAAGACTTTGCCCACTAAGAGGCTCAAGACAAGAATGTGGTTGTTTACCTATGCTTGCTAAATTGGTAATGAGATTACCTTTTGACCAGCTCCTAATCTTGAAAGTTTCTTGTTATAGCTGCTTAAGTTGCTTCTGTTTTCTTCAGGTTATGGAACAGTTGATCAGTAGACTTGATGTAGCAATGTTCAACGCCATACTCCGTGAGTCCGCGGGTGAAATGCCGACAGATCCTGTCTCTGATCCGATCAGCGACATTAATGTCCTTCCGATTCCTGCCGGAAAAGCAAGTTTTGGTGCCGGTGCGCAGCTAAAAAACGCGGTAACTTAAGCTCAAATGAACAATGAACTTGACCTACAAGAAACGTTCCTTTTGGTATGTAAGTTCTTGCACTTTGCCGTTTGCAGATTGGAACTTGGTCTAGATGGCTTGAGGATCAATTCGAGGAAAGAGAAGACAAATCTAATGAGAACCGCAATAGAAATGAGAAACTAGAAAGTGAAAATTTCAGATTGTTCCATCTACTTAACTCGTTAGGCGACCTAATGATGCTTCCATTCAAAATGCTTGCAGACAAATCCACAAGAAAAGAGGTAAATTACACTCAGAAACTCACTCTTCTTGCTCCAAAACACAAGAAGAGAGCTAACTTTACTTCCTTCTTCTTGATCATGTCTTTTAGGTTTGTCCAACGCTTGGTCCACCAATAATCAAGAGAGTTCTTCGAAACTTTGTCCCTGATGAGTTTAACCCGCACCGAATCCCGAGAAGGCTATTCGATGTTCTGAATTCCGAGGGCTTAACAGAGGAAGACAACGATTGCATCATAGCCTTTCCTTGCGCTGCATCACCCACAATCTACTTAATGCCATCTGCAGATTCCATAAAATGCTTCATAGGAGAGTTGAACAATCCATCACTATCCGAAACCGGATCATCGGTGTATAAGAAACAATACACAAGCGACGATGAGCTCGACGACTTGGATACATCTATCAACTCTATAATCTCTGCTCCTGGAACAACAACCAGTTCATCAGAGTGGATGCCAAAAGGATATGGACGCAGAAAGACTGTAAGATATCAGCTACTTAGAGAAATTTGGAAAGAAGATGGATTACAATGACTCAAATTCTCCTTTTTTATGTTTATGTTTTCGATGAAAAACACAAACTTTCTTGGTTATATGTAAGAAAGTTTGTGTTTTTCGACAATTTCCATACTCTTTTCTTGACAAAATGTAGAAAGTCTTATAAAATTCAAAACTTGCATTATATTTACAAATGATTTGTTAAAGTTTTTAGCTTTACTGGTTCACTACTAAAGTTCAAATCATCAGAATTAGAGACTAGAGAAAGGTTGAAACTTAACATGTAATCACTCAAGATTGTACAAGAATCATAAAACATGTAAATTCCAAAGTAGCATCTTACCTCTGGATCCAAATGGTTAGATTCTCACTACAATATCACAAAAATCACAAATTGAGGTTGATTTGAGGGCAGAGGAAAGATTCGTTTTTTTAGGTGGAATCAGTTTTTTTGGCCTTCCCTTTATTGAAGAAATCGTCGATGCGGCGAGTCCCAACAGGCGGAGCCTTCTCCGACGCCGTTTTAGCGGCTCGGACGGGCTGAGCGGAGGGAAGAGGAAGCGAGTCGAGGAGAAAATCGCTGGTGGGTTGGTGTCTTTTGACGGCGACTCTCAGGTGATCGAGATTAACTGTCTTCCGCTTCTTCTCCGCCGTTACTACCGACGATTTCTCGGCGAGGAAGTGGAGGAAGAGCTCGGTGGAGTAAGCGACGGCGTGAAGAGCGTCCGAGTTGATTTTGTTGATGTCTTTGTCGAGTTTCATGATCTTCTTCACCCTTGTGATTGGAAACTGCGGTCGAATCGTCTCTTCTTCCGCCATGGAGTTTGATTTTTGAGAGAATCGAATTTAAGATTTAGGGTTTTGTTCACATAATCTACATATTTGGGGGTTTTCGTTTTCGCGCTCTGTCTCGTATTAAGACAGCGGGAAAAAGAAAATGAAAAAAAAAAAAAACTCTGATTAAAAAAGCCTGTTAATTATCTTGATTTAACAAAAATTATTCTCATAGTATTTTACTATTTTTCAACATAAAATGAGATAATGTTGTAACTAATCATCTCATTCTCTCTTTGACCGTATGGTGTTGTATACATTAATCAAGAAGGGAAGTCCTACTTTTCTGCTATGCTAGAGGAATTGACTTTTCTTGTGAAATTTCTTGCATCTTTCATAAACAAATAGTTTACGTCGTAAACTTGGATTATGTCAATATGTTTGGAAAAGTCAACTGTAATTTGGGGCTATATAAAAGGGCTACATCACATATGTTATATGCATAAGTATTCAGAACATTTACAAACAAAAGCTCATACATTTATTGTTGACATTTTTATCATATTCTCTGTGATTCCGTGTCCTATATACGATCACGATGTGTCGACTGTTATGCTGTTGCTTCTGCCGCAAGAAGAAAAAGCCGCGAGATGTGAAAAAGAGTAAGAAGGGAAAGAAAGATGGAGGCCTTGTCGTTGTGAGGCCGACTAAGCCTAAGAAGAAGAAGAAGCGCGATGGTGGAGTAGAAGTAAATGCAGACGTATGTTGCTGCTGTTTTGGCGGAGACGGCAACGGTGGTGATGGTGGTGGAGGGGACGGTGGTGGTGGTGGTGGATGTGGAGGAGGCGGTGGCGGCTGCGGAGGTGGAGGTGGAGGTGCTTAAAAGACGAGGATTCTGTAAATCTTTTATGTGCTGGTAACTTCTTGTGTGTATGTGTATTTTATCATATTGATTTTATAGATTTGTTGATGATTCTTATGTTGTGTAAGATAAAATCTGTGTTACAGGCGATTATTTTATTTAATATATAATAAAAAATCATATATCGTTAGTTATATATCTAATGATTGTTATAACTCAATGTTTGTTTTTATAACCAAACTAAATTCTATGCCAAATTTCTGTGGTCTGTACAAATCTTTGTATTTTTGCCATTAACACACGTCTACAATAGTCAAGATGAAACATAGAATCAAAACCAACTAATGTCAATAACTTGAAAGAACTCAAACACGTCTTACATTAAAACATAGTTTCTTTTACACACAATCCAATAACTAATAGCTATTGTGAAAATATCACTAGAGAGTACCAAAGATTTAACCAAAACATTTCCAACAAAGTCTTCTCACTAAAATCATCCAGAACAATATCATAAACTATTTAGCCGTTGTCAAAAAAAAAAAAAAAAACTATTTAGCCAAAAGAAGCTAACTTTGACAGTTTTAGGTTCTGATTGATGTCCAAATATTGAATCTTTGGCTCAAACCAAAGATTGAGTTTTACTTCTAAGTATTTGAGCCACCATTAGTGACAATTTCAGAATTTTGACTTTAACACAACAAAAAAACACAAAGCTTACATAAATCTGTTCTCATCTAATGTGTAATAATTACATAAACAGATGATAAGAATCCAGAAGCAAGTAAATTCCTATTTCTCTTTCTGTGGGAGCAAAAGTATATATAATCAACTTACAAGATAAGACACACACAGAGAGAAGAGTAGAAGAAGAAATATACAAATCTTTTTGGAATCAGAAAGGGCGATTCTGTGGTCGAACCGCTATCTGAACCGGTACAGGTGTACCGGTTCCAGTACCGCCACAATTGCTACAAGCCGCACGACCCGAACCGGAACATCTACGACATCCGACATCTCCATCGGACCACCGAGAGCAGAAACACGTGACTCGTCCCGTACCGTTACAGGTCGGACAACGAGGGAACGGACCGGCCATAGGCTTTTGGTCCAATACCGATTTGACTAAAACCGCACCGGCTAAGACGCCGAGACCTGTGGCTAGCTGGGTGATGACGATCGGACTCATATTGTTTGCTGTTTGAAGAGAAAGGCTGCGAATTTTGGAGGATAAAGTAAAAAGTAGAATCGTGATGAAATTGAAGAAGAGAGACGTCCAAGCGAAAACAGATCTTTTTTTTCTTTCTTTTTGGTTTATAGACATAAGTGTGGTCTTATTTGATTTGGTTCGGTTTATTCTGTATTTATTTAAATAAATACAAATTATAATTTTGGGATAAGGAATGGCTGAGAAATTGCACACGTGGGCTAGCGAGGGTTTAGTTCTCATGTGAGGAGCTGAATGAGCCAGCCGTTGGGTTTATTCCAGCTTTTTGGATTTGGGCCTTCATTGGGCCTTGACGGTAAAAATCAAGTTGAACAATAAAATTTATAATTTTAAAATTAAATAAAAACTAATTTTGTACTGTCATTTGCCATTTGCTTCTTTGACTTTATCATCATCATCATCATCATCACCGATTTCGAAATTGAAAGCTATGGAGTCATACAAAACCCTAGAAATCGTTCGCAAGAACACAGATTCCTCCGTATTTCACCTCATCCTCAACAGACCATCACAGCTCAACGCATTATCACTCGATTTCTTCGTCGAATTCCCCGAAGCTCTATCCTCACTCGACAAGAACCCAGATGTCTCCGTCATCGTCCTTTCCGGCGCCGGAAAACACTTCTGCTCCGGCATCGACCTCAATTCCCTCTCCTCAATCTCGGAACGAGCCGAGTCAGGTCGTGACAGAGCACGCTCGAGCGAGCATCTTCGCCGGAAGATCAAGTCGATGCAAGCGGCGATCACGGCGATCGAACAGTGCCGAAAACCTGTAATCGCCGCTATACACGGCGCGTGTATCGGAGGCGGTGTCGATCTCGTCACAGCCTGCGACATTAGGTACTGCTCGGAGGACGCTTTCTTCGCCATCAAGGAGGTTGATTTAGCGATCGTCGCCGATCTCGGTACACTCCAGAGGCTACCGAGCATCGTCGGGCACGCAAACGCCATGGAATTGGCGTTAACGGCTCGAAGATTCTCGGGACGTGAAGCCAAGGATCTCGGTCTCGTTTCTCAGGTCTTCGGATCTAAATCGGAGCTCGAAATCGGCGTCACCACGATCGCCGAAGGTAAATTAGTTGTTGATTCAATGCTCGAATTTTTTTGTCAATTTGGATTCTTGGAATTGAGAATCCGAAGTTATGGAATTTTTCTCAGGAATAGCAGAGAAGTCTCCTTTAGCTGTGACAGGGACGAAGGCAGTGTTGTTAAGAAGCAGAGAGATGAGTGTAGAACAAGGGCTTGACTATGTAGCTACTTGGAACTCTGCAATGCTTATATCAGACGATCTCAACGAAGCTGTTTCTGCTCAGATTATGAAACGACGACCTCGTTTTGCAAAACTCTGAACGCAAGAGTGAGTCTCTGTTGCGGTAAACAGATCATAAAATGTTAATTAGAAGTACTTTTTAGCGTTTGTTTCTCGAATAATGTGGTTTGGGTTTGAAGAATTACATGATACTACCAAAAAAAAAAAAAATCATCTTATTCTGAATTTATCCAAACGTTACATGTCTTTACTACAGTATTGTAAATCAGAAAAATGCTTAAAGTTTACGAGATCCGATTGATTCAAGTATTTCGTCACTAAATCCGATGTTGAAATTGGGAGACCAACATAGAGAAGATGGAGAAACGGGTGGTGAACAAGTCCGAGAAGAAGAGCAAGATGAGGAACTATATGACGATAATGAAGACCAAGAAGCTGCCAAAACACAGTCCCTGGTCGGAGTATTCTTCATTGCCGGAGCCACCACGTCTTCTAGAAGCCCTTGTTGCCGCTGGCAATGATCAACCGGGAAAAACAATTCATCTTGGATGTTTACCGTTGTGTTTTCATGGGTTTCATAGGCTTGTTTGCTTTCTTCATGAGTTTTAGTTTTTTTGTTTATTTGGAAATGGGGTTTAAATTGAGCACGGTGTTTATGTACTTTGGTCTTTTTATTGGGCCGATGAGTCTTGTTGGGTAGGAAGAAAGGGTGGCTGAAGTGAAAGTGGAAACCTTCATAGGTGATGATATATGTGTTAGGCTCATCAATGGATCTCTCCACTTGCTTCTTGGCATTGCATATTGGGTTTGTGCACTTGTAATAACTCCTATACACATCATAAATCACAAATAATAGTAACATTAGGCCTGTGACCAAAAGCTAAGTATACCATATACAAAATTCGACATGACGATTTTTAATATCGGTTTGATTGAGCTAAAGAAGGTCGATAATATGCACCTTGGGTTAGGGCTATGTTTGATGGATTTTTGACCATACTTTCTCCATTTGTATCCATCATCACTCATTCCATTACAATCATTCTTCACCTTGAATGTGTACCTATCCACCTTGCTTACAGTACTCCTTTCCAATATCGAGACCCTTTATATTAATCAATATGCACAAACAAGAGATTCAGTAAATTTTATTAAAAGCTGATTTTATAAAGAAGAAAAAACAAAGTAATACTAACAAAGTAATACTTATAAGTGAAAAGTTCCCTATATATTTACGTTGATTCAGAGATTTGTCGGACTGGGTTGGTTAGGGGTTTAACCGCAGCGAGAGCGTCTGCGATATCTTGAATTCTTGGACCGGAGTAAAGCGGTGATGAGACTAACTTGTTTGTGATGGAATCTTCGTTTGGCATGAGTATATGATGTTGTTCTTGAGGCAGAAAGAGGAGAGGTGGCTCATTATACAAAAGCTCGTCAAAGGCGTCGTTTTCATACCTTCTCGTCCACTCAGAAAGTTCTTCTTCTGCCATTTGAGTATGGGAACAAGATAACACATACGAGAGAGATAGTGTCTTTGGTGTTTTTAGGATAAAGCGTGTTCAATTTATATTAAGATGTTTTCTCTGGGGGAGGGAGAGATAATACATATATTTGACTGCCTCCTAGGACTTAATTACTGCTTACCGACGCTCCGATAAAATTTTGCTAGCCTCATTTAAACATGAGACTAAACACTTAACTTTCAATTTAATCAAAGCAATGTACATCAATTTATAAACACAATTTTATTTGCTTATGATACTATTATAACTTTATGAAATCTCACGTTTATTTTTAATATAACTTTCGTGAATTTGTAGCTTAAATATTGCATGTTATAATAATAATAATAATAATAATAATAATAATAATAATAATAATAAAAATTTATGTGAAATAACAAATAATAGTTGTACGATTAAAACTAGTTTTATTAAATCTTCTTAATTATAGTGGTTGAACATACAATGCATATAAATACAAGAAAGAGACTACGAAACAGATAGGAAGTGTTATCTATTTATCTTGTAGATTGTATTTGTTTTTCACATTAGGTTGATTACTAGCTTATTCAAAAAAGTTGTTTTCTTTTTTCGTTAACTACATGTATTATGCCAGTTTTTATACGAGTGATGAAAAAACTACGATATATGCACAAACTACTAGGCTACACGACTCATAATTTGTTTTTTGTTTTACTTTTAAAAGATAAGGAAATATATAATGCATGTATTCTCATGTGTAGAACTTGCGACAACCTATAACACTGCCATTAAATGGGTCATCTTATCAATATAGTTCTTTTGTCTTCAAATGGGTTGTAATGTCCACATATTTTATGAATCAACCGTCGTGGCTACCTTTGTAAGCTTATATCTTAGGCCCCATAAAATTGATAAAATCGAGTTATCTTTTTTTCTTGTTGCTATGTGGGTTTGACTTTGTGAGGTAAAGACAAAAACATAGTGTGACTAGGTAGTGGACAAAAAAGGTTTGGGTTGACTTAGTGGGCGTAGGTTTTGTTGTCTCTGTCATTGATGAATTGGTTTCGGATTTTAACCACACTTGTAGTGGATTTTTCTTCTGAAATTATCTAACAAAGTCAACCATGTCTGGTGTTTCTATATGCACTTATAGTAACACAAAATACAATGGATTCAGTTTGATACTATCAAATATTTTCGATTAATTCAAGAACGATTTTAGAGTAAAGAGTAAAATGGTTAATTAACTTCACTGTTTCAAATCAACTTCACCAATGCATGAACATACACATATGAGTTTAACATAAAGAGTAAAGAGTATGGTACTTTAATAATCAAATCATTTGTGGCAAAGTTGACCAAATTTTTCATATTGGCACATAATCTATGGTAGTTTATTAAATATCGTGTTGTCGAGTAAAATAGCCTGATCAAAGTACATGGTTTATCTTCACTAGGAGAGAACCAATTTATATTTAGCTTCTCCTATCACTTCTTTTTGTCAACAAATACCCTTAATCAAAAATATTTGCTACATTCGCAACTAAGGTGTTGATTGGTTCACCCCTGCTCCCGCAAACGCAGCGTTTGCGGGTAGTAGCGGTTATTGGCGTTTGACAACAATCACCACAAACGCTTTATACCGCTTCAAACCGCTCAAGATCCCTCAACAACCTCAAAATCAAAAGCTCCTTCCCAGCAAGCGTTTGCGGTTGCGGGTGGATAATTAAAAAAAAAAAAAAAAAACACAAACTTATATAAAATCCGAAAATAAATAATAATCTTTATTAAAAAATAAGATTTGGATAATAAAATCACAATATAAATAAAAAATTAGTACTTTTAGTCAATATTCATTAAAATCATATCATACTTATATATTTATAAGTTCTACAAATCAAAATTCTCTTGATAAATATTCTTTTCATACTAATACATATATATCTAATAAATAAAATTGTAATATAAATTTAATTTTCACATTAAATATATATTTTGAAAATAAAATCACATTTTTTATTTAAATTATAGAAATTAAAAGATAGACGTAAGTATTATACACATATTATTCTTTATAAAAAAATTATTTTTAATTATGTTGAACCATAAATTTAAAATTTTCATTATAATATAGTTTTGATATTTTTATAATTATATAATGTGTTTATATTATTAATTTATTGTTTAACCGCTATTATTGTTTTATAGAGCTTTTACTGTACCAAAAAAAAACACTTAACTTTCAATTTAATCAAAGCAATGTACGTCAATTTATAAACACAATTTTATTTGCTTATGATACTATTATAACTTTATGAAATCTCACGTTTATTTTTAATATAACTTTCGTGAATTTGTAGCCGTTGACCAAATCATTTGTGGCAAAGTTGACCAAATTTTTCATGTTGGCACATAATCTATGGTAGTTTATTAAATATCGTGTTGTCGAGTAAAATAGCCTGATCAAAGTACATGGTTTATCTTTACTAGGAGAGAACCAATTGAGATTTAGCTTCTCCTATCACTTCTTGATCACTTCTTGGTGGGTTGTTTGAGAAGTCTTGCATTCCAAACTTGTTTCTTTAACAGTGGAGGTAAATTGTTTTCTTGGTTGAAACGTGACGAATAAAGTTTTAGTAGGGTTTTTTTTGTTGGAGAAATTTAGACACTTTATGTATATGATTAGTATAGTTTGAAAAAACTATACCATGACTTTTGATTTATTTAAGACTGCTTTTAGTTTTTTTTTTGAAACACATTTATTTAAGACTGCCTAAGTAGTCTATTTACATGCAAGCGAAACTGTGACGATGAAGCAAAGTCTTCATTGCTGAAGCAGTTTTGGTACGAACTTTGTTAACAAAGAGATCTCATCCTTTGAAATCTTCGCCTTTTTCCTCTCCTCTCCAAACATAATCACACACTTTCTTTCATCGTTTTCTTCCTCATTTCCCTCGTTCCTAACCTCGATATTGGCAATGGCTTCAGTGATCTCCATAACCATGTCAACGATCACTCCCTCCACTCCCATAAGATATTGTAAGTAAACCACCTCCACGACATTGCTGAAATTATTAAAAAAATAGTTTGTTCAGAGAAGGCGAGAGAAAGAGACGACAAAAAACAAGAAAATCGGGAGGATGTTTAGTTTCTTTACTTAAGCTGGCCATAGGATATAAGTGAAAGGTTTGAATCTTTAACTCGTGTGATTGCGTTTGGGGTTCTTAATATGGCCTTAACCTCAGAAACAATCCCTTGCAAACCACATTCTTTGCAAAGCTTGATGGCCTCTTCTAATGAGTTTCTTCTCACGTCCTTATAGATTTCACTTCCTCCATTTGTTAAGAAGAATACCTGAGAACACAAGAATTTCAGCTACATAACCATCTAAACCAACTAACATTCATATGGAGAAAAGAAAACCAAAGATGCAATCTTACAGGATGACTTCTTTGCATATCCCTGATCAGTCGAGCCACATCAGGATGAAAGCTCGAAACGATTATTGGCCTGTTCTTGCCATGCTCATCTACAACCTAATCATCAACATATATTTATCACTGGAAGCAAGAACATGACAAGATCAAATATCAGATGGGTGAAGAACATGTTCTTTACCTTCAAGATGTTCTCAAGAATTTGACGTAACTCTTCTTCTCCATACACAAGATGATCATCGAACTTTAACTCGATATTGAATCCTAGTGAGCGTTTAACATTTACAAAGGCATCTTCAAGGGTGCACAAAGGATCATCCTTCACGACTTTCCATTCGAAGATTCTACCATCTTTTAGCTTCCTGAACATAGGCTTCACATTTGTACCATCCTTTTGTGGTCCATATGAGAGAAGCTCATGTAAAGTCATTTCCGTTACTCTTCTCTCAGTGATGACTCCCTGGAAATTTTGACACCAAATTTGCTGATTTCTAATCTATGCTTAGTGAAAACTTGCAGCAACAAGATTACTTGTGTGGAAAACAAGAGGGAAAACCTAACCTGTTCTTGCGTGAACATGAAGATATCATGGAAAATTACAGGACAACCATCTCTTGTTACCTACAAAAAGAGTTACATTCTTTATTTAGGCTGCCATTGTTTCAAACACAAATTTATGCAATTTGCGCTTACAGTTTTAAACAAATCTTCATTGCGAGTGGAGTTTTTTCTACCATTTTCTTTTCATTGTGTTTCGCGTTTACGTTTATAATTTACAAAATACTAATATATATAATTCTACAAATTATGGTGTAATTTGGATTTGTGCGTGTCATCCAGACCATGCTTAGGTATCATATTGTTGCATATAAAAGCAAATGCAAACAAAGAATTCAGGCCACTGATATGCGGTTTTTGTTTTCTTTTAATAGGAAAAAAAAAGATCAGATTCTAGGGGAAAAAGTAAACCTGGACATCAAACTCAATGAAGTCAATGGGGAAATCTGCAGCAACATTGAAAGAAAGGATAGAATTTTCTCTGATTGATTTCATTTTCTCGTCGGGAGATTGAAGCATGTTCATTCCAAATCCTCTGTGACCCATGACAACAAATTTAGGGAAAGAAAATGCCTCCTGCTTCTTGTTCTCATCATCTTCAATACATTTTGATCAACACCCAAAAAAATTTATAAGCAACTTAGGAACTCCAAGAAGAAGAAAACAAAGAAGAAGAAGAGATTTCATGAACCCTTTTGTTATTTTATTTTTGTGATAAAGGAACCCTTTTGATATTACCTGATGAAGACTTAGCAGACGACACCGATAATGGCAGAGATTCGAGAGCCATGGTTAATTCCTTGCAGAACAAAGCTTATAATTTATAAAAGCAGTGGTGAATCCAAGAAGCAGAGGGAATCTCCATAGTGACAAGAAGAGAATATTCCATTCGATACAAAAGAAGGCTCTAGATATCGAATGGAATACTCCATTCGCAGAATCTTTAAGTTTTTTCTTCCCTTGACAAGAAATTGTTCGGTGGATTTTTTTATTCTCTCTGTTTTTTTTTTTCTGACAGCTTCTGTTGTGTCCTTTTCTGGACGATTCTATTTGGTTCACGATTTATATAAGACAGATGGAGAGGGTTTAATTTAGACAAGTAGATAGATACACTTGAATAAAATAACCATTAGTTTTGGGATTTCCTGGGTTAATTTTAGGTAACGTTTTCTTCTTTGGGTTTGAGGATTAATAACTTTTGGGTTAAACACTTATTTCCTAAAAACTTATCTAACCAAATCTAGTACTCCTAGTTCATAAGCAAATCCATAAAAAAATATTTGTAGTTTTATTGGTTTATGCATTTTGATGGATATACTTACAAATCTAAGATTTTTTTTGTTCAAACTTACAAATCTAAGTTAAAATCTTCTTTTATTAGATTAATGATTTTAAGTTTTTTTTTGTCAAAATCCCACACTTTTCATTAATGGTTTATAAATACTAAATGAATTATGGTGTATATTATTGGTTTAATAATTTCTTATTTCAATGGATTTGGAAGTATTTTTAAGTTAAATATGCAAAGAATCAAGAGGTTAAATTAGTGATTTGGATTTATTTAGTATTTAGATAAATCCAAATGGTAAGAAGATTTTAAGCAATTTAAGATCTAAAATGATTTAAGCAAATCTTGCTTTTCAAATCATCTCAAATACCATGATATGAGGTGGTATTTCAAATCCATTGGTTTTTAATTATAATTTGTCTCTCAAATCTTACCAAATCATTTTTGATATAATTTATTAATGAAATCCCAATTTTTCCAATATGACAAGATTTTAATGAATTTGTATGAATGACTAATCAATAACTATGGATTTTGAATAACTTTTACAAATGTTAAAAATTCAGTAAGAGAAGATTTAGAAAAAAGGAAATCCTCCCAAATGCTAGATTCAGCCCTAATCCAAGGTAAAGCTTTGGTATTACCAATAAATATTTTATTCTGTATCATTTTCATGTTTTTTTTTTGATAATTATATTTTTCATGTACTCATTGTATACTATAAATTTCGTTTTAGCTATACAGTGTAGTTTTTTCTTCACGTTTTGAAGGTAGAAATTATAAAACTTCACACATGGACTTATAGGAATGATAATTATTTTTATTATAAATTTATAACCGAAGCCTTTGAGATTTTGTAAAACAACGTAGTCATTGAGAAACAAAACAAAAAAGGATTTATTAGTATAACCAAGATCTCATGAATATTGATCAATTACAAACAAAAACATAAGAAAGACACAATGGAAAAAAAAAATCCTCCAAATGTAGGTCTCAAAGCTCATCCTTCTTGATCTGGGATGGACGAATACCTTTACTGAGGAAATCTTTGTAATACTTGGCCGAAAGTTTTTCATGACGTGTGAGGTTATTCTTGAAATCAATGTAATATAGTCCGAATCTGGTTTTGTAACCATCTTGCCACTCAAAGTTATCCAACAAAGACCATGTAAAATATCCTGTAACATTCACCTTGTGCGTGCTGCAGATTTTGAGACATACGTTTTTTTTAAAAAAAAAAATAGATTTTTCTTCTATAAAAGTAGTAATCATCGTATAAAAATGAAATAAGTCTTACCAAATAGCTTCGTGCATACTCAAAAGATGCCTCTGAAGATAATATTTCCTGTTAGTATCTTTAGTACCAACTTCAACCGAATCCTTGTCTCCAAGTATTTCACCATATCCTGGAAAACAAAATCAAGATCAATAGAAAAACAAATATTAGTGTTTGAATTCAAAGTAAAGCCAACTAAAAAAAAATAGTAATGCAATCTTTAGTTTACCATTTTCCATGATTATAATTTCTGGGTTTGTGTATCTATCCTTGATGTACTTCAATAATTTAGTAAATCCTCCCGAGGAAACGCTCATTGCAGCGTTCAAAGGCTGAAATATATACAAATATGGTCAAATATCTTTAATGTTAGAACATTTTGCTTTTTTTTTGTTACGTACTATCACTAAATTCTTACCTTGGTACCAATGCTTTGGTTCAGTACACTCTTTTCTGAAAAAGAAGATAAATATATTATTTAGTACCAACTACTAAACACAAACAAACCCTTTTCTTTAACTTGTTTGGCATTTGTTATCTTATATTTTCTTTTTCTTGTTTGGCATTGGTAAGCAAAAAAAAAAAAAAAAAAGCTTACCTTCCCAGTGAATAAGAGAATCTTGCTTCCAATATGGTTTTGAATAATCTATCTTCTCCAAATGAGCTGAAAACTGTGAATAATAGTAGTTGAGCCCTACGAAATCTGTCGAGTTTATCAATTTTGCTCTCTGTGTAGCATTAAATCTGGGCAATCTGTCTCCAACAATATCTCTCATTATCTTTGGATATTCTCCAGTGATAGTTGTTTCCAGATGCCTACAAAAATAATCAAAATTCCATACTTTAAAGAAATTATATATAAAGTTAGAAACACTTATTTTTTTCAAATATATTTAAACTTACCATCCAAGCATAAAATCAAGTGCACGCTCAATAGAGGCACCGTCTTGTGCATCTTTAAAGTCATGTGGTTCGAACCAAAGCGGACTATGTGCGATTCCAATCTTCCCACCTGTACACTGCGAGCATAAACATAACCCAAAACAGATAATTCCTTAATTATCATAAAAACAAATATAATCCTATTAAAAAATATATCTTTGAAAAATCAACATTTTCGATATATACACATTTTTGCATGCTCGGAAAGCTTCAACAGCTTCTGCGTGAGCGTTAAGGAGGTTATGAGTGACTATATAACACTCACGTCCTGAGTGACCGTCGGGACATGCTTTATTAATGTAATCAGAGCAACGGCCTGGTGCTTTCTTCCCAATGTCATAACCGGCGTGAGAATAAACCCATGGCTCATTGAAAGTGATCCAATGTTTCACTTTGCCACCGTATTCATGGAAAACAAAATCTGCATACGCCCGAAAATCCATCCTGCAGTTTTCAAAGTAAAGGATATTGCTTTAATCAGGTTATCTATATGATGACTAGGAGGTTATGGATCAAAACCCTGAATGTGTGGACCAAAGCATATTATATGGTTTTTTCTCAAATGTCAATTTTGTGAATTTTTTAGTTAATTTAACAATACTATCGACTTTGCTACTCCTTATGTTCTCTAATAACTGGCATTTATGAAACTTTTTCTTGTTCACAAATTCCCACAAATCAATTTTATTGTTGTCACTGTTTTTTAAACTTCTGTTAGAGTTACGTTGATGATAAAACATGTTTTATTTTGAAAAAATGGTTAATAACTTCTTAATCTGTGTACATGACTTCAAAATGCCATCTATTAGAGAAAAGAGAGAGTATATGATATACATAAAAATTGGTTTTGTTTTACTTAAAAATAAGCTTACACAATCCTGTCGCTTAAAAAACCGCCATATTCGTCTTCTAAAACTTGTGGAGTGTCCCAGTGGAAAACAGTCACGAACGGAATTATACCTGATTTACAATTTTAACTAAAAAAAGTTTAGCAAAATTAAGGGTAATTGATTTATTTTTGGTTTTGTTAATTAATTTTACTTTGCTAACCATTTAATTTAAGCTCGTCGATGAGGTCATGGTAGAATTGCACACCAGATTCAGACACTCCTTTATCCTTTGTCCCATCTATAAAACATTTTATTTTTCTTTCATTAATATTTATAACAAACATATACAGCAAATCTGACTATAGCACTAAAATTTAGTTACTCATTAATTTAAATAGTTATATGTGTCTATCGATCCGAAGCACATAAACTCACGAGGGAATATTCTTGTCCACGCGATAGAGAGTCTGAAAGAATCAGTATTTAGATTCTTCATAAGTTGGATATCTTCCTGCAAACATTTTTCAAGACGACACAATTAATCAAATTAACATCTAGCATGCATAGAGTATTCAATAAAATTCATTACTTGATATATGTGATAAATAAACTCTTAAATTGTATACCTTATAACGATGGAAGAAATCAACGGCCACATCGCCATTCTGGAAATTACATTTCTCTGTAATACAAAATGGATTGATCGATTATCGAGATTAATGAATTGAGTCCATCTTATATATATTCGAAATAGAGTACTCTCTTTTCATATTCCTTGTAATCTATCGAGTTAAATTTGGTTTCATATTATCATTTTATATTTTCAATGCTACAATATAGTAAACTCTCTAATTTTATCCTTATTTTAAGCTTATTAAGTACTCATATCAAATAAATAGCATAATAATTAAAATAGAAATTTCAATATTTACTTGTGCAACATCGTTACACGACAACTAAATCAAAATGGAGGGAATGATTGTAGAGACACTCACCTGGATATTTTTTACAGTAGACATCCCATAAAGATGGTCCACGATTAGTTTCATTCACTCCACCTTCAACCTAATGACATTACGATCGATTGTTCATTCGCACCAATGACTTCAAGTCATATATACAAAATATTTTGAGATGTAGAGTTTGATAAAAAAAAAATATTATACCTGGTAAGCTGCAGTAGCTGTGCCAAACAAGAAACCTTCAGGGAAATGAGCCCGGCTTAGTGTTCCCGGCGGTGTAGGTGGACAAACAGGTCCATCCGGTTTTACAGGGTCGACGATGGTTAGGTACAAAATCACCATGACGATGATTAGGAGCAGAAGCAGCCCCGCTATGAGACGACACCTTTGCGAAGCCATCGTGGTTTTAGTTTTTAGTTTTATTCTTTTGTTTTCTTCAAAAGAACAAGTTTAGTATGATCCTTAATACATCTAAGTTGGAGCTCTTTATATAGCGATTTCGACTCACTACTTGATAACTCATTTTCATTTTCTAACAGGTCTCGTTTAATATATTTTTTAGTTTACTAGATCAGAGGTTGGTTTCGGTCAATCTTATTATAGCCACTTGCATGGTACGTCGATAAGTCAACATACCGATGATAGTGATGGCTACAGTTTCTTGTTTAGTGTAATAATTTACATGCATGTCTTGAGGATGATTCATCGCATGATCTATTATCGCTGTGCTATGAATTATTTTTCTCAACTTTTATCAAATAATTCTGCGGGTGTCTAACGTGACATAGTAGTAAACAATGACTTCTAATAAATCGTCAACATATAATATGTAAAATGAATTCTTATTTTAGAGTATTCAGATCTAACGCTATGACTTTAAGATATTAAGGCTATATATATGACTTCGATAAAACCGTCAGCATATAATATTGTAATATTTTTCCTTGTTGGCGTCGGAGACATGATTTTATTATGTCAGATGGATGGATGTGTGGGAGAACACAAATGTGAGAACATCAAACTGATGCGTAGTTTTGTGAAGTAAATCCGCAAAAAACATTTGACGTTTTTTTGTAACATTTTGAAGTACTCATTATATAGACAATTTAGTTTTTCTTCACGTGAAGTTTAAAGTATAAAACTATAGGACGGTAATTTTGTTATAGCTGAAGCCTTCGAGATTTTGTTAAACCAAGTAGACATTGAAATATATAAAAAAAAAAAGGACTTTTTATTATAACCAAGAACTCATGAATCTTGGTCAATCATAAACGACAACATAAGAACGAAACATTGAAAACTGGAAAATCAAATCCTTCAAATGTAGCTCAAAGCTCATCCCTCTTGATCTGCGATGGACGAATACCTTTACTGAGGAATTCTTTGTAATACCTAGCCGAAAGTTTTTCATGACGCGTGAGGTTATTCTTGAAATCAATGTAATATAGTCCGAATCTGGTCTTGTAACCATCTTGCCACTCGAAGTTATCCAACAATGACCATATGAAATATCCTGTAACCTTCACCTGGTCGATGCTGCAGATTTGACACAAATCGTTTTATTTTAATAATTTTTTTTATATCAGATTCTTCTTCTATAAAAGTGGTACTTCATCATATAATAAAGAAATAGGTCTTACCAAATAGCTTCGTGCATACTCAAAAGATGCCTCTGAAGATAGTATTTCCTGTTAGGATCATTAGTACCAACTTCAACTGAATCTTTGTCTCCAAGAATTTCTCCATATCCTGAAAAAAAAAAAAAAATCAAAAGATCAAATCAGTGTTTGTTTTCAAAGTAAAGTAAACTATAAAATAATAGTTATCAGTTATGCGATCTTTAGTATTACCATTTTCCATGATCATAATTTCCGGATTTGCGTACTTATGCTTGATGTGCTTCAATAGTTTTCTAAATCCTCCCGAGAAAACGCTCAATGCAGAGGTCAAAGGCTGAAATATATACCACAGTGGTAAAAGTGTTAAGTCATCTAAGACAAAGCTATAATATTATCTCATATTGCTATTTCTTTCATTAAATTCATACCTTGCTACCAATGCTTTGGTTCAGTACACTCTTTTCTGAAAAGAAGTATATATTAATTAGTACCAAATATTAAACAAACCTTTTTCCTAATTTAAATTGTTTTGCTTTGGTTTTCTTGGTTCAGTTTCAGGTAAGTAAAGCTTACCTTCCCAGTGAATAAGAGAATCTTGCTTCCAATATGGCTTTGAATAATCTGGCTTTTCCAAATGGTTTGAAAACTGCGAATAGTAGTAGTTGAGCCCAACAAAATCCGTTGAGTTTATCAACTTTTTCTTCTGTGTAGCATTAAATCTGGGCAATCTATCTCCAACAATATCTATCATGATCTGTGGGTATTCTCCAGTGATAGTTGTTTCCAAATGCCTACAAAAATAATCAAAATTCCATTTTTTAAATTAAAAATTGTATATACATATAGAAGTAGAATCACTTATGTTTGTTTGGTTTCTTTAATTAAAGAGATTGAAAACATACCATCCAAGCATAAAATCAAGTGCACGCTCAATAGAGGCACCGTCTTGTGCATCTTGAAGGTCATGTGGCTCGAACCAAAGTGGACTATGTGCGATTCCGATCTTACCACCTTTACACTGCGAGCATAAACATAACGCAAAAAAAAAAGCATATCAGAAAAACAATAATCCTAGTAGAAACAAAAACAAAAGATTAATTACTCCATAATCAACTTTTTCTGATTTTTATATAAAAATATATATACCTTTGTGCATGCTCGGAAAGCTTCAACAGCTTCTGCGTGAGCGTTAAGGAGGTTATGACTGACGATATAAACCTCACGTCCCGATCGTCCGTCAGGACATGCTTCATTGACATACTTAGAGCAACGTCCTGGTGCTTTCTTCCCAATGTCATAACCGGCGTGAGAATAAACCCATGGCTCGTTGAAAGTGATCCAATGTTTCACCTTACCACCGTATTCTTGGAAAACAAAATCTGCATACTCCCGGAAATCCATCCTGCATTTTGCAATCAAAGGATATTGCAAATATCAGGTTGTAGTTATTGGTTACTAACTAAAAACTAATTGATAATTAGTGGATTGGTTCATGTCTATTATAAATTATTTAAATTTCTTCTAACTTCGGATGTTCGGTATTATTCTCTAATGGATACTATATGATATATAAAAGTGTGTTTTGTTATTAAAAAAAAAACTTACACAATCCTGTCGCTTAAAAAGCCGCCATATTCATCTTCTAAATCTTGTGGAGTGTCCCAGTGGAAAACAGTCACGAAAGGAATTATACCTGTATTTATAGTATTTATTAAAAATAAAATGTTTTAGAGAAAATAAGTGTAATTTATTATTGTTTGTTGTTGTTGATTGATTGTACTTGCTTACCATTTCTTAGGAGCTCGTCAATGACATCATGGTAGAACTGGACACCAGATTGAGACACTCCTTTCTCTTTTCTCCCATCTATAATACATTTTTGTTTTCTTTAGTTTTACAAAAGCATACACACACCAAATTTGATTATATGAGTCTATCGATCCTGAGCCCATAAACTCACGAGGAAATATTCTTGGCCATGCGATAGAGAGTCTGAAGGCGTCTGAGTTTAGATTCTTCATAAGTTGAATATCTTCCTGCAAACGTTTTCCACACGACACAAATTATCAACATCTAGTATGAATAGAGGATCTCAATAGAATATATAACGGAATAGTTACGTGATATATATGTGATAAATAGTTTCTTAAGGTATACATATATATATACCTTATAACGATGGAAGAAATCAACGGCCACATCCCCATTCTGAAAATTACATTTCTCTGTAATACAAATTGAATGATTGTCGAAATTAATTAATTATATCAAAATCTTATTAGAAATATAGTTAGTAGATAACAAGACAAGTAGATGTAGAAACTCACCTGGATATTTCTTACAGTGGATATCCCATAGAGATGGTCCACGACAAGTTTCATTCACTCCTCCTTCAACCTAATAACATAACGGTATTTAGTCGATGGTTCATTCACACCAATTACTTAAGGGTTGCATGCATGGTTGCAACTATGACTTTATAATGCTACTTAAAACATAGTCTGTAAAACCTTTAATTTTTAAAAATAAAATGTGACCTAAAAAAGAGAGTAAAAGCTACAATTTGTTGACGTCCAAAACAAAAAAAAAAAAAACAAAATGCTCGCCCACGATAACAATATAAAGAAACTTAACAGTGAGTTTTTTTTTTCAAGAACTTATTTAGGACTAGATAACATTTAAAAGTATGACTAAATAGTTTTAGACTCTTAAAACGAGTTAAAGTTTTAAAAATCTCTACCAAGCAGAACAATATGTTTTGAGCTATAGCCTATAGCTTGATTGAATACATTGTACCTGGTATGCGGCAGTAGCTGTGCCAAACAGAAAACCTTCAGGGAAATGTTCCCGGCTTAGTGTGCTTGACGGTGTAGGTGGACAAACAGGACCATCGGCATTTGCCGGAGAGCCGACGATTGTTATAAGCAAAAGCAGCCCCATCATTAAAGGAAACCTTTGCAAAGCCATCTTGCTTTTAGTTTCTTCTGTTTTGTTCAAGAGAACAAGTTTAGGATGATCCTTACACTTCTTAGTGGAGTTCTTTATATAGCGATGTTGATACACTACCTTGTTTATTTAATTTCTTTTTAAGGTACCACATTATTGATCCAAATCAGATCTTGGTTTCGATCAAATTTTATAATAGCCAATTGCATGGGGCATTGATGGTCACTGCCTCACTGGTCAACAGATTGATAATCTTTTTTATTATTTTCTGTAGTGAGTTAGCTAAACCATCATTATTGACTAATAAAATTATTTACATGTATGTATAGAGCTAGAGGAAGATTCATTGCATGATCTCTATCGCTGTGTTATGATTACTTTTCAAAAAAATTGATCATATAATATAATAATCCGCGTTTCTAACGTGCACCATAAAATAATAGTGGGTGTATTTAGAAGGCTGAACATAAATTTATGGGGACACTAGTTTTAACCAATATTTCACATAAGCTTATCTTCATTAATTTGTATAGATAAAAATAATTTGCAATATCTGAGATCCCCACTGTGCACCACGCCACCACCACAACTTTATTTGCATGACGTTAAAAAATTTTATAACTTTTTTTGTTTGGTAAAATGTGAAGATTTTATACCATTTTCAAATTTGTGACAGAAGTTACTGAGATAACAAGAAGACAGAAAGACCAAAAAACTACAGAACAAACTATAGTTACAACAGTCAAAACAAAAAGCGAACAAACAATAAGCTAAACACACATCACAGAAAACCGAGTAAAAGCCCGAGAGGAAACACCGATTCCGAACAAAGCCTGAAAATTTGCGCTGCTGCCAAAGCCCGAGACCAAATTTTTAAATTTCTATAACTTGCTTCCATAGTTCCATTAATCTATAAAATTTGTATAGTTTCTAGGAATCGAACACCCTCTTGACTATAGAAACATTAATATATAACTATTTGATCAACCACATGTATTAAAAGGGTTTCACAATCTAAATCGTTGTGTTATGATTTATTTTTCCAAAATGTATATCGTAACACATTTTTCAAAAATGTGAAAACCCTTTAACAACAACAAAAAATGTATGAAAAGAGATTCAAAATCTAAATCGTTGTGTTATGATTTATTTTTCAAAATTTTGATCATATAATAATGCGCGTGTCTAACGTGCAGTGTATATTATTATTGATGAATGACTTCGGATTTTTTTTTTTTTTTTTTTTTTCCTGCAATGACTTCGAATAAGTCGAGAATATAATATATCTCGTGTTTAACGAGCAACCATATTAATATTTAATCTTGAATGAATAGATTTATATAATACAGTATATTAGAAAAAGGTCTCAGGTCAAAGAAAGATCTCAAGGAATAACATGGATCGGTTATGAGTGATTAATTATTCTTGTTTTGCATTTTATACTATATCATATGTAGCTTCGAACCGCTTTAAACATTTTTAGACTCACCTAGTCACCACAAATAATTTTCCTCTTTATACTTAGTGTCGTCTAGATTGATGAAACCATGTGAAGAACCCAGTCGTTATTTCATTTCTTGCACGGCCCTGCAAGAAATGAAATAAATCAAAAGCTGTTTGCATTTCTACAGGAAGCATCGTGTAAAGAAGAGGAATATATCAAAAGTTGTTTACCTTTCTACGGGGAAACTTCTGGACAAGTTGTCAAGTGCCAACAATCTTAAATTATATTCAGATTCAAGGCTATATTAAATTATGTCCTCGTATAAATCGCCACCACCATACTGTTGATGATCTTCTGTATTGTTTTCTGTAGTCAGTGGCTAAACTATTGTTATATATAACTACAAGAAAAATGCATTGAAAGAAAATATGCATCTAATGTAATATGGTTAGTAGTTAGTACTAAATACTGCATGTGATAAAGTGCATATTTTTTTTAAGAATGTATGCATTTTACAGCAATTTAAAAATATCATATTGAAATTTGAACTAAAATTTGTTTTTGAGAGATTACAAGAGCAGAGCTCTATACCATGGTAGACGTTGTATTAATCCAGATGTAGAAACTATATCTCAAATACACAACATAACCTGAAAATTGTAGAGAAAGATAAAATAGGGAACATAGAGTTCATGTTTTAATTTTGTCAATGTCATCGCATGGTGAAATGAAAAATATAAGAAAACGCAGTAAAGAAGGCAGAAGCGACACATTTCACTGCATTAATTGGAACCAAATATTTGGATAAGCGATGGGAAAACGCCCAAAAAAATCTTCAACTTTTCCGATTAGAACGTTTTATTCCCGAACTATCAATTGCACAATTAATTCCCCAACAGAGTAAATATTCTCATATTAGACGAAGCCTGATTTGGCTTTAACGTCACTTAGACGGGAAAACCCGTCTGCTAGTTTAAAATGCTAAAGACGTCGAGATTTTTTTTCCATCACAAAATCCCCAAATTGAAAACCCTAGAACGATTGCCCAGAAACTGAAGCGAAATTGAGCGAAATTCTGCAATTTCCATGGTGAAAACTTTCCATGGGAAAAGAGGTAGGAGGAGGAATAAACTCCCGATTCGAAGAGAGCAACAACTCCCGCACCAGCATGAGCCTCCAATCGAGCATGGGCTTCCAATCGAGCCTGAGCCTCCAATCAATCATGAGCCTCCAATCAACGACGAAGCACCAGACATCGAAGTTGAACCAGAAATAGAGCATGGAGCACCACTCGAGCTTGCAACTGAAATCGATCTTGAAAGGTAAGTTTGAGTTAGTTTGAATGATCAGTTATGATGACTTAGGATGACTGATGAGTTAGAATCGTTGTTAGGTTGAATGAGGAATGATAAGTTAGAATGATGATGAGTTAGGATGCTTGTTAGGTTGAATGCTCTATTTGATTGGTTTTATGCTTCTTAGGATGAATGAGGAGTTACACAACGAAACTGTTGAGGAAGAAGATCGAGCAGAATCAGAGGATGATGATCCCATCGACGAAGATGATTGTGATTGCCCTGCTATTAACGAAGATGCAGCTGGATATAAGGAGAATGAGCCAGAGTTAGCTGACATTCCAGAGGAGGATAATGATGACCCATTGGTGAATATTGAAATCTGTGATGATGAAGATTTTTTTCGAGATTTGGAGATGATGGTCCTCAAGAAGGAGGTGAAGCTGCTGATGATAATGGGGATGATATGTGGAATGATGATCTCATCCCTGATCCATTAACAGATGATGAAGATGATGCGATCTTAGGAGTAGAGGGTAGGCCAATCCCTTCTCGGCCACATGAGATCTTAGCATTTGGAAAGTGCTTCAACAATGCTGATGAATTCAAGTATGCACTTCTCACATATTCTCTGAAAACGGAGTATGATATCAAGATGTATAAATCTTCTAGTGATCGGCTTGGTGCGAAATGCACAAAACACGCAGAGGAGAAGTGTCCCTGGAGAGTGTATTGTTCTTTTGAAAAGAGCAAAAACAAATTGATGGTCAAGTTCTATGAGAATCGGCATATATGTACAAGGAGTTCTTACACCAAGATTTTGAAAAGTAGAGCTATTGGACAACTCTTTGAAGAAAGGCTGAGAGTTAATCCGAAAATCAAGCCAGAAGATATGGTTGCTGAAATAAAGAGAGAGTTCAATATGATTGTCACTGAAGGTCAGTGTAAGAGAGCAAGATCTGATCTTCTAGCAAAGAGAAAGGCTACTCATGAATCGCATTTTGCTAGACTTTAGGATTATCAGGAAGAGGTAAGATCAACTAATCCAGGCACAACAATGGAGGTTGAAACGATTCCCGGGCCACTTCCTGGACACAAGCAAAGGTTCTTTCGTCTCTATGTCTGTTTTGGAGCATTGAAAGAAGCGTGGAAGCAGTCATGTAGGCCTATAATAGGATTAGATGCCTCGTTTATGAAATGGGATATTAAAGGCCAAATGTTAGCTGCAGTTGGTAGAGATGGTGATAATAGGATATTTCCTATTGCCTGGGCTGTAGTGGAAACGGAGGATCCCTAATTGGCTGTGGTTTGTGCAACTTCTAAAAAAAGATTTAGATCTTAAAGATGGAGATGACTATACAATTTTCTCTGACAAACATGCCGTAAGTGTCACAACTGAATTTGTTTTAGTCATATCCTATCTATGTATGATATTTTGTATTTAACATATTCTCATTTGGTTTGATTCGTAGGGTTTGTTGAACGCTGTTCATGAAGAGCTTCCCAAAGCTGAACATAGGCAGTGTTCTCGACACATTTTGGGAAATTGGAAGAAGACAAACAAGGACATAGAGCTTGAGCGTATGTTCTGGAGAATAGCAAGGAGCTATACACCAGAGGCATTTGAGGATAACTTAGAGATAATGAAGAAATACAACTCAGGTGCTTATGATTCACTTCTCCGCACTGCACCAAAAACGTGGTCTCGAGCCTTCTTCAAAGTTGGATCTTGTTGCAACGACAATCTCAATAACTTGTCAGAGTCTTTCAATCGCAATGTTAGAGAGGCAAGGAGAAAGCCAATACTTGATTTCTTAACTGAGGTCAAAAGGACAGTCATGGAGAGGAATGCAAATAGAATTTTTTTAACCAGGAGGTGGAAGAAAAGGTTCACACCAAGAGCAGACAAAGAGATTGAAATCAATCGGCAAAAAGCTAAAGACTGCAAGAGATATAGGACAACTGGAAATGTGCATGAGGTCGACTTCCGTGGAGATCCTTGGAGCATTGACATGGATAAGAAGACATGTGGCTGCGGTTATTGGCAATTGAATGGCATACCTTGTATGCATGCAATGTGTGTCATCACAAACTTGAAGTTAGATCTCAATGACTATGTCTCCGACTACTACTTGACTTCAAAGTGGCAAGCATTGTATGATGAAGGTATGAAACCAGTTCAAGGCATAAAAGCATGGAAGCGGTTAGGGAGATTGGTAAATTTTCTTTACTAGAAATCTTGATTGATTCTTATCAAAATGCATGTATTAAAATTTGTATGG